CGATATCTGATATCGTGCATTGCTTGCCGTCCCACTCTAACTAGTAAGTGTTTATATCTCACGCGCTTTGTCGCTCGATATCTGATATCGTGCATTGCTTGCCGTCCCACTCTAACTAGTAAGTATTTATATCTCACGCGCTTTGTCGCTCGATATCTGATATCGTGCATTGCTTGCCGTCCCACTCTAACTAGTAAGTATTTATATATCACGCGCTTTGTCGCTCGATATCTGATATCGTGCATTGCTTGCCGTCCCACTCTAACTAGTAAGTATTTATATCTCACGCGCTTTGTCGCTCGATATCTGATATCGTGCATTGCTTGCCGTCCCGCTCTAACTAGTGAGTATTTGTATCTCACGCGCTTTGTCTCTCTCGAAATCTGTTTAAAAATCAGATATTGTGGCAAACGCGTATGATATCGCCGTATCGCGATTCGTGTCGGTATAGCGAGCGAGCACGGTACATCAGATTTCGGAAATATCAGATATTGTAAAATACATAGATATTGAACGAGCCAGTAAGCGATATTGGGATATTGTACTAATATCTAGTTTTCATATCTGATACGATTTGTATCGCCCACTTCTAATGGTGATCCATGGGTCCAAAATTATAGCCGATACATGAATCCATTAAACGTGAGTTCAGCCTTCTTATTATTTCGATAATCACGCCTCAAGAGAGTTTTTATTTTATTATTTTAATCTTACTGAACATATGTTTATGACTTCTCACTCAGCAAGACGAATATCATTGTATCTGATAAGAAAAAATACATCATGCCCATTAGGTCACACACATGCTTGCGCTTTGAAACATTACTCTCCGTCCAGTACAGTCGGATAGAAATGTAACAAGATACATTACATTTTCACAGCAAATAGACGCAATTAAGCGAACCGCAATGCGACAGAGCCGTTTTATTTAACATCCACGCTTTGCTTAGCTCTTTCAGTTTATCCGAAAGACTCGAGGCATTGTGCGCATTGTTCTGGTCTTAAAAACAATGCGGCTACGAACAATTATTCGGGACTTGCGGTCTTTTGTCGCTTCGTTTGTTTTCAGTTGGCCCTTAACTAATTGAACTCGACAGACGTAATGAGTCTGTAATGAGATTGCGTTGCATTGCTGTCACCGAAGCGTCCATACTCGTTCTAAACTTTTCACTATTATCTAATAATACAAAACAATAAAAATACAAACAAAATGATAAATCCTCAAAGGGCTGGTGCCACTGGCTTTGAAAATAAAGTTCGCCTTTTTTTACAGACTTAGTAGTGTCTTCGACTTGAAACATAGTATTGATAGTGCTAACGTAAAGCAATGATATGACATTACCAATACGAGGTAGATATGACACTAGCGCACCGAAACAGAGGCACTCAAATTACACCAATTGGTGTAATTAGGTTGCAATTCTTTTTTAGCCGGCTATCTCTTTCCACATCATACGCTCTATTTCATATTTCACTCTCACTTATATATGTCATATAATGTGAAGTGGAACAATTTTTAAGCGTCGCGCAGAATGGACATGTGTCATCTATATTATTAAACATCATTAACTTAAAACACTTTAATTTAATAAAAATCTCCGCTATTTTAAGCCAAAAAAGCCTTCCATTAGTGAAAACAATTCATTCATTAGCATACAACAAACTTTATGAGCTCTCATGACTATGAAAACAAATTAATTTAGACACGATTTCGTACAGAGAGCTCACAACTTTTAATTAAAAAAAATTTTCTTAAACAAAATTAAAGATTCTTAATCTGAGAAATAAGCAGGACAAAATTGGTTCCACAAACTTGACGTGTCTAGAAGAACAAGCTTATGAACACAGTTTCCCTACTGAGAAACTTTTCGTTATCAGTAAACAAATAATTTAAATACCTAATTAACGAACAACAAAAAATAAATAGGTAATTCAAACGTTATGCCTTGAAATAACAGCGCCATCTTGCTACTAATAATGAAACATTTACTTTTTCTGAAGCATTCATTCCAGCAACCACGTCGCGACACAATGATTCAAGTATAGATGTCACTATACGTCAGCTTTCCGTTATTAAAATGTCATATCAAAAAATACAGATTATTTCTTATGCCCTTGGCATTAAAAAAGCATTAAATGCAAAAAACCATAAAATTGCAAGAAAAATTTTCGCCATAGCCATTCCGAATTTTAACGTACACAGTTTGGATTACGCTTCCAAAAATTCAGTTTTAAAATTAAATAAAAACAAAATACTTTAAAAATAGAAAACCTTATTTTGCTAACATTCCCTTTTTTAATTATTCCTTGGAATAACTAAGCCTTATTCTCCTTTTCTTTAAAACGGCATCCATTACTTAAAAAATATTGTCAATAAAACAATCTAACAGACACTTTGCTATACTTCAAAAAGTAATAATACAAGCGACATTCTAATTATCGTGATTTAATACCTATAATCGACGTTGTTACAATTGACTAGGAAACTTACAAACCTAAAAATGTAGGGGGCTTTTACGAATGATAAGCTCACCGCAATTTCCTCAACAGATATATTAGAAATCATTTGACAATGCACACGTTTCAAATTAGGGTTCTTCATTCAAACTGATAAACGTTTTTTGAGAAAACGACAGAGAAAATATAAAATTAGCAAAGAAGCTCCAAAAAATATGAATATTATACAGCGTGTCTTTATAATCGCGACAATAAATGAACACAAATGTTGAAGATTACTTTTTTAAATTGTATTAAACATTTACATTCTTGAAACATCAATATTTACCGAGTTATCAAATTTTCCAAAACAAAGAACTTCAGAACATCCTTACGTATAAAACTGTAAAGTAAAGTTCATTTCTAAAGGTCATAAAGTATATGAATGGTTTGAATGAATTTAAAAGAGACAAAACATACTGTTAGAAGGAGAGGCTTGTAATGCGACGCTGTGGCAACGAATGAAAAAGTCTCTGAATGTATGAATCAGTCAGTTGTAGTTGTATAGGTTGTTACAAATTTTGTTTTTTTTTTACTTAATTAATTTGTTGTATTGATAAATATTTTTTTTAATTATGGATTTTTTAAAGTTAATATTTTTTTATGATTATCGGCACGTAGCGTTAGACGTGTGTTCATTTATTGTCGCGATTGTAACGACACGCTGTATATTTAATAATTTTATTAACGATTGCATCTTCGATGCGAAGATGAACATATCGATCGTCAAACGTCGCGGATTGGAACCAACATTTAATGCGAAAAAATCCTTCAATTAGTTTTATTTAACAATTTGAAAATTTATTTAAACGCAAGAAATCAACCGTGTGTATTCTGCAAATGTGAAAGTAAAACAGCTATTAAAATAATCAACTTAAAATTTTTTAAATGAATAAAAAAATTAAACGTTTTGTAATATACTACATAATATTAAACACATTTCAAAATTAAAAATTTGTCCTAAGCATGAACGCAGAGCAATTAATGGCTATTTAAATCTCTGGGAAAGAATGAAAAATTCATATTCTTTTTTCATTTGCAAGACACCTAACAGTTCCATTGCCGAATACCAATTTGTTAATTCGTTTGTATGTATCAAAAAATATTTAAACTACCGAGATATTAAAATATAAATAAAGACGATAGAAGAAGAAACACGCATTAGAATAAAAAAATATATAGAATCGCTGATAAATAAATGTTAGAATCGTCTTTACAAATGTACAGAACCTTTTAACATTTACCATCGACAAATGGGGCTTTTCCCAACTATACGTATAAATACCGTTAAAGAAGATCCATGCAGTACAGTCCAGCCGTGACTATCACGGCTCGATACAACCCTTCAAAACAGTTTTAAATAACATAGTCGTATATAATTACACATCAAAAATTTTCCATAAAAAAGTAACGCCGAAGCTGTCTAAGGTATGTTTAAAGATATTCATTATATTTTTCAAGTTTGTAATTCACAAAAGCCATGATGGTACAACGTTTTGAATAGATATTTTTATTGTTCTGAATTTTCCTCTTCCAATGATCGACAACGTATTTGTTCGGAAGTTTCATTGCTGGCGTGACCCGCTTGCTCGTTTATATAATTTTAATAAAAAGTGATTATACTAAAACTAATTCGTTTATTTAGCCGGTTATTTATATTTTTAGACCAGACGACGTTGAGAACGCCCTGCAGTATTATATTTCACAGTGAGGACTGAGATTACGTCGCGATTGCAATCGCTGGAAAATCATTGATGATTGTCCGATTCACGCAGAAAATGTTAACTTGTAACTGCATCTTCCTATTTGACCATGTGATGTGCTTGGTATCAAAGATCTTTAGTCATTTCCGTGACCAAGGCTGTTTAAGTGTGTTCAAAGTGCCGGCAAACATAATCTAAAATTGACCGCGGATAGTATTTTTATTATAATGCACAGAATTCGCGTAACGTATCGTTTAGAAAAGAATTATGATCGCTGAGACTGCTCCTGCGAGGCGATTGCTCATGGTGGAGTCATTGTTGAAATCGCATCGCTGGTTGAAAGGCAGTTTAGCTTCAAATGAGTTCATTAAAATTATAAAAATGCAACTGGACAATGAGACGTGATAGCTCATTGTCCGGGCGCTCGCTTTAAATTGAATGTTCTCGAGCAACCTAAGTTCGATCCCCGGTGCCGGCACCAATGAAATTGTTAATGCTTAGTGCTAACTTAGCATGTGTTCAGCGGTGAGGAAACCTGCATATTTTGGAAACAATAACAAAAATATATATATTTCGAAGATATGTGAAATCCGCCAACCCGCAGTGGGGCCGCATGGTGAACTATGCCTTAATGCCCTTTGTACAGAGGAGGCCTTTGCCCAGCAGTGGTACATGTATAATAGGCTCTTACTTACTTTACTTTACTTTTCATACATATATATTTATATAATTCTATATGCTTCTTATTTTTTTTTTTAACTTTCCGTCACTTATAACCAACTTTTCAGAAATCCATTCACGATGGCCGATCCGAAGAAAAACTTACTGCTATTCTTTGACCGCCCCACTGAGCCGTGCTTCATGCAAAAAGGGGCGGAAGGTGTCACTTTTGATATACCAGAAAACTTCTTCGTGAGTGTTTCAAACTTAGTTAAATAATTATGCTTCTAGATTTGAGCTATAAAAATAGGGCTCTGGTTTAAAGTGGCGTATGTATTTTGCATTTTTGGTAAGTAAGAAAAACATTAACAGCTTACAAAATTCATATTTATTAACATAGTTATGCAGTTATAACTTAGCAGTAAACTGACAAAAAGAATTCATAAAAAATAATTAATAAAAGGTAATTAAATAAATATTGTGCAGTAAAATAGTAAAAACGGACGGTTACGTGTGGGCAGTTAACAAATTTGAACTAGTCGGTAATAATTCTCATTCTAAGGAGTTCTATAAACAAGATATAGAGCCGTGATAGCTCAGTGTCCAGGCGCTCGCCTTTAATTCAATTTACTCGAGCAACCTGAGTTCAATCCTCGGTGCCGGCACCAAAGAAATTGTTAATTTCAAGTGCTAAATTATCACGTACTCAGCGGTGAAGAAAAACATCGTGTGGAAACCTGCATATCTTCGAAATAATAATATTTCGAAGATATGTGAAGTCCGCCAATCCGCATTGGGGCCGCGTGGTGGACTATGCCCTGATACCCTCTGTACAGAGGAGGCCCTTGCCTAGTCGTAGGATATGTATAGGCTGATACTTTTACTATAAACAACGAGGAGGTTAAATGTGGTGTATTCCTCGTATATTCAACGTATAAAGTAAAATGGGAAAAATATTTAAGTACGATTTCATGATTTACAAACCTGTTTTTTTTTTGTCAGTAAATTTAAGTTATGAAAAGGGTAATAACTTTCACTTTCATTGATGCAATATATTTAATCGAATTATACGCTACGGCAATGATAGGAACTTACAATTTGGTAGTATTGATTTAAAATAATAGTTAAATTTAAGACTTAAAGCCCCGTCCCTAACGAAAACTAAAAAGAGGTAAACATTTTACCTCTTTTTCCTATTCACACACATTTCCACCGGCTATCTCCGCTGCCTGTGAACTGCCGAACTATTTATCTAACTACCCATTCCAACATTTTTACTGGCCATTTACTGTTTACGTATTTTTTGGACTGGTATTGTACAAAGGTGTGCAATTTTTTATCTATTACTGTTCGTGTTTTACAGTCGAACTAATATATCAACCTACGAAAACATGACCCCTTACCTTTTCAACTGATCCATAATAACTTCTCGAATGTTTAGATAACAGTTTTAGAAATGAATACTCTTATTTATTTATTTATTTTTAAACTTCATGCACGAAACAGTACATAGGCGGACTTAATGCTGACAGCATTAAGTCCGCCTATGTACTGTCACTTTTACTATCCCGCCTGTGGTTAAGCATTGATGTCATCTTAGGCAGTCTTATCTTCCTCCGTTGCAGCCGGACAAATACAAGTCGCTGTCGAACACGCTAACGAACAGATTCGGCGGCAGTGCCAAGAGGAACATCCTGGTGAGGAACATCGCGCTGCCAAACCTCAACTTGCCACTGCAACTGGGCTACCAGGAGCACTTCTCACTCTTCGTACCCAAGCATAGGCAGATGGCGGGCAGGCTGATTGATATATTTATGGGTAAGAGCGCATTACTGAACATCGACTCGGCAAATTTCAAGGCTTCACGCACAACGCAGTTCACACGACGCAGTTCACACCGCACAAGTTACCTTATAACCGATATGTTGCTGTCTCTAAGCATAAACTCATCTTGAGGTGGTGTCTGTCACTGCTTAGGAGGTAGACAAACCACCAAGTTCATCTTCATGATAAGCATCCACGTTTACCTTTCATTCGTTCTCTAAGACATAACTATTTGTAATATATTTCAGGCATGCGCGACTTGCACGACTTACAGTCCATTTGCTCTTACTGCCAGCTACGAATCAATCCGTACATGTTCAACTACTGCTTATCGGTAGCGTTGCTTCACAGGTGAGTCTAAACATGCATGTATATTTATGTGTTTATTTTATTAACTCAGTTCACATAAAATCTGTATGCACCTACATATATGTATATGTATTTATTTTATTTATTTATATTATACACTAGCTATGCCCGCAACTTCGTCCGCGTGGAATTTAAAATAAAAATTTTTTTAAAATAATAGTATCCTAAGTTACTCCTTATTACATCAGTTATCTGCCAATGAACGTCCCGTCCAAATCGGTCCAGCTGTTTCAGAGATTAGCCGGAACAAACAGATAGACAGACAGACAAAAATTGTGAAAAATGTTATTTTGGTATATGTACAGTGTATACATCCATATGCATTTAATAAAAAGCGGTTATTTTAATGTTACAAACAGACACTCCAATTTTATCTGTATAGAAGATAGAAATATGCATTTAAGTCATAAGCTCACTTAAGATAGAATCACGTTCCAAGGCTTATATCGGCTATATGAAATGATAGGTATGATATAGCGCATTTTGGGGAAATGGCAGTGAGAAATAAATATATTTAGGTCTTGTCTTTTGACGAATTTGTAACTAATGTAATATTTGCACAATCTGTAATACCTACGTACGTGTGTAAATAAATACATTCCTTTTGTACCAGCCAGTCTCCTTTACGTTACAGACCCGACACCAAAGGCATGGACCTGCCAACACTGACGGAAACATTCCCGGACAAATTTATGAGCCCAAAGGTTTTCCGTCAGGCTCGCGAAGTGTCCACGACAGTGAAAACCGGCCCAAGGGTATGTAATTCAGTGAAAAATAATTTTTTATAGCATTTTTGCGGCTTTCTGTCAACAGGACAAAATATTTTGCATCTATAAATTTCGCTCTGCAAGGTTAATTCTCTATAAATATTTAATATATTTAAGTCTACAATTACTTTTTTCTCGTGGACTCTGATTGTTCTATGAAATGCTAATGTCATTGAAACGGATCTGCCCTACGGACAAATGATTTCAACTTATATTATGTTTCAACTGCCTTCTGTCCCTTATATCCCCCGACGAGCCGTGATAGCTCAGTGTCCGGGCGCTCGCCTTTAATTCAATACACTCGAGCAACCTGAGATCGATCCCCGATGCCGGCACCAATGAAGTTTTTAACTTTAAGTGCTAACATATCACGTGCTCCGCGGTGAAAGTAAACATCGTGAGGAAACCTGCATATTTTCGAAATAATAACAAAAAAAATATGTTTCGAAGATATGTGTGAAGACAGTGGGGCCGCGTGGTGGACTATGCCCTGATACCCTCTGTATAGAGGAGGCCTTTGCCCAGCAGTGAGACATGTACAGGCTGTTACTTTACTTTAATGTCCCTTATACGGCTTTTTAATAGATTTATTTGTATTAGCTGATAGATATATTTTATGCAATTTTATAAGCAAAAAAAAATGTACAAATATGAATGCAAATTTTAAGAAATTTTGCATGCAAGTCTATAGGTACGCTTAGAATATTGGCCTCGTTCGATGGAATTTTTCACGTAGAGTTCGATTGTTATTTTATGAGATATGTTGAAACAAGCTATGATGCAGTCAACCTTAACGATTGGCAATAGATAAGACTCGGTACTTCGCTGGTTGATCTTAAATGGATCGTTCATGCAGCAACGTAAGCTTCGTACACTAACAAAAATCAAATTTATACAGATGCCGGTGATAATCCCGCAAAACTACACCGCCGCGGACTCCGAGCCAGAGCAGCGAGTCGCCTACTTCCGCGAGGACATTGGCATCAACCTCCACCATTGGCACTGGCATCTGGTGTACCCGTTCGACTCGGCCGACCGCGCCGTGGTTAACAAAGACCGCCGCGGGGAGCTGTTCTACTACATGCATCAGCAGATCATCGCCAGGTCCGAAAAACTGCACAGGCTCTTTATGTTTCTGTTTATTGAAATTTCATAAATTTCTCTGAACAATTTAACATATTTATTTGTCAATAGCATTCTGTATTATTAACTTATTTCATAACACTTAAGCGAGAATGTCTTTCAATTAATTATTAATAAAACGTGTATAAATCTTATTTGTTTACAAGATATAATACAAAAATTTACAAGATATAAGCATAATTTACTAAATCGTTTTCACTAGAGGGTTTCTATAGCCATTATGATATATGATAGTTATTTTTTGTATTTACGCGATTACACATTACCGAAATGAAGCTAATTTTACGGATGTATCTCGATTGTTTTTAATAACAGGATAGACTGCCTGAACATTAGACGTGACCATAAATGCCAAAATATTTGACTATAAATAAATAAAGAGTTTCATTTAGTATTCATTCATTGTTTCAGAAATCTATTTATGTTATGAAACCGTTTCCATTAATGGCACTTGTTTCGCTAAAGTGTACTCCGGACGATTAACACCTTATTATTATCTCAGATATAATGCTGAACGTTTCTGCAACAACTTGGGCCGCGTGACGCGTTACAACAACTTCCGGGAACCAATCGCTGAAGGCTACTTCCCGAAACTGGACTCCCAAGTGGCTAGTCGTGCTTGGCCACCGAGGTAATACAAAATTAAAAAATATACTTATTTCCTAGTAAATTTATTAACTACACACTATTATTATATTAAAAACACCTAAAAGCTAAACTTAAAAAAGCTAACTCTTTGTGGAAAAAAAGACATTAAATTCTATTGCTAACGGCATAATCAAATAACTTATAATTATACGTAAATGTCAAAAAGTCGTTATTGGTTGTGATTGGTTGGTTTGAATTAGGTGTCGCGCATCGTTAGAATTTACTCTCATCATTTTTCCCAAAAGCGCCAAAAGAAATATAACTTCAAAAATATTTACAATATCAATACGAACTTAATTTCATGTTATCACATGTTCGTCAAATTGTAGTTATTTCGTAGAAATTTTCATCATAATAATATAATGACACAAAAAAAGATGTAAATGATGAAGGGATTAGTAAATAGTAACATAATATTTTAAACGAAAATACGTAATACTTACCAAACTTTTTATAAAGTCAAGTAATGCTTTATGACGAACATAGTGTTTTTCTAGTGACTTGGTGTTTAAATTTATTTACAGAATTATTATTTAAATTTATTATTTATATTTATTTACAGAAGAAAAGTATGTTTATTCTAACATTTATAAGTTACCTAGTATCCATACTACAAACTTTGCTTAGTTTGGGACAAGATAACGTTGTGTAAAATTATGTCCTGAAATATTTATTTTTTTATTTATTTATTCATTTTCATCGATAAAATATCCTTCAATCAGATTCTTCATTGTTTGACTTCAAAATAAAAAACATAAATCTTGTTACCTTTTCAGTTATTTTATTTACGGTATTCTGTGTATATAAATATTAAGTAGACCATTTCACTCACTCTTCAGATTCGCCGGGTCGACCATTCGGGATTTAGATCGACCAGTCGACCAAATAAGGAGCGAGGTCGGCGAATTGGAGATGTGGAGGGATCGCATATTGCAGGCAATTGAAAATAACGCTGTTTTGCTGGTAAGCACTTTCATTATATCAATGAAGAGAACTCTTAACAACCTTATATTGTTAAAAATTTCTATTCGACTAAAGCCTTTATTTTCTTCAACTCACATAGCTCTCTCAAGAATTGCGTTCGTTGCATTATTTATTAGGAAGCAGACGCAGCCAAGCATTTCGAAGCAAAAAAAAAAAACTGCGCACACCAATTTATTAAGAAATTCCGTGTGTTAGGAATTTTGGAAATAAATTGTATTATATAACCGAAATTACTTAAAATTAAGTTTGAATATCATCAAACGTTAAGTTAGATATTGTCAACGTATCTCTGGCTTCAGCGCCAGGGGTCGTGGGATTGATTCCATCACGGGACAAGTATTTGCTTGACCCGCAGATAATCGTTACCTATCTGGGTGTTTGTTCCCAAGGAGGGTTGACGTGAGGCAGGAAGCCGGTCGGAAAAAACCTAGCCAATAACATTAACGTATTACATACAGCAAACGTAATGTTTATCATCGACTTACTTTATTTCCATCAAAACAGCAGCACTCAAGTTTGAAACTCCATAATCTTGGTGAAAACAGGAAAGGTCCAGCTCTCACTCCCACTTTATAAACAAATCTGCTCAAATAAGCTTGCCGTAAATCTTTTTCTGTCAACATATCCTTTCTGGATGTACTTGGGATATTAATGTATTGTAACATCTCTAGCCGGGCGGTCGCACGATGCCATTGACCGAAGAGAAGGGAATCGACATATTGGGCAACATCATGGAGTCGTCGATAATCAGTCCCAACAGGTCGTACTACGGTGACATGCATAATATGGGACACGTGTTCATCTCGTACTCACACGATCCCGACCACCGCAACCTGGTAAGTTTTGTCTTCTTTTTCTAATCATTGTGATACCAGCAAATTTCCAAGAGGTCATAGGATGAGGCAAAAGACCTACTGAGCTCCATATCGAATTTGATCCAAGTCTGTGTTCAGCATCATTTGAACAGACTGGCCATCGATTATAACAACTTGTTTATTTTTTTATAATTTTTTTTAATTCATAACTGACCAGCACTTTACTGCCATCCCACCTGATAGTAAGTGGCGATGCAGCCGTTGATTGTAAGCTCGCTATCTCAGCAAAAACCAGTTCACTCTTGCATTGAAGACGCCGACGTTGTAATTGGTCGGAAAGAAGGATGCCGGCAGGTTATTCCATATAATATTTTCAGTAAGGCTAATCAGATTCAGTTTTATGGGGATTAAGACAATCTTCCCGGTTAGTATTAAGAGTCCTTAAGGCCTGTTACATTGAATTTGCAGGAACAATTTGGCGTGATGGGTGATTCCGCGACAGCAATGCGCGATCCGATATTCTATCGATGGCACGCATATGTCGATGACATCTTCCAATTGTACAAGAACAAATTACCGCCATACGCTAAAAACAAAGTGAGTCGAAAATTTTTATAATTAAAATTACGCACACCTACTGCTCACGTCACTTTTCCTTCCCGTCATATCTAGAAATAGATATACTACAATCATAAATACTACCCTGTTACTGTATTTTACATGTTCTTCTATACTAAGTACCATAATAATAATTATGTTTCTTAATTTAATTTATAATAAAGGGCTATAATAGGCGGACATAATGCCTAATGGCATTCTATTCCAGTCATCCTTTGTCATGGTGAAAAAAAAGATGGCAGGTGCTAACCGAAGAGTACCGAAGAACAGTAGTAAAAATAAAAAGTAAATTGTGAAGTCAATTTGTGAGGTCTCTACTTGGACTAACCAAAATTTCATATGTTGCCTTCCTCAAGGCATACTCAACACGCAGACCTTGGGTCACCTTAAAATAGAGAGTTTAGAAGTGCGAACACGATTTCCAGCTCGACTTCCCCGGTATCACCGTGTCTTCCATTGCCGTGGAGGGAACGGCCGGGAGAAACACATTCAAGACGCACTGGGAACAGAGCACCGTAGACCTGAGCCGTGGCATGGACTTCACGCCCCGTGGCAGTGTTCTTGCGCGTTTCACTCACCTGCAGCACGAAGAGTTCACTTACGTGTACGTCTCAAATTCCGCAGTCCTTTGTACACCTTCCTCTAATCCGTCATGATCGAACAGACTGATACTGATAACAATCTAATCTCATGTACAATTTTACCCCGGTAGAGCTTTTCTTAGAAATAATTCTACAAGTTTTGCTATCATTAGCACACTTAAGCCACGAAGCGGCCCTTTCCGTTTTCTAGCAGAAAACTAGTCAGATATATAATGTGAATCGAGGTTCTTCAGTAGTAAGCTGTCAACATCCTTACTATGGGAACAGCTAAACTGCTGACTTGATAGGAAAGACATAGTCAACATTAAGGATTGTAAGCGCTAGTTTACAACATTCTCTTTTAAAAAAAAAGGTTAGTTCAACCATTAATTTTGATGTAAAATGAAATGTCCCAATCTTAAGAGACAATTAAATAAATATATATTTCAATCCAATACAAAAAATAATAAATAGATATAATCCCGTCCTTCTCTTTTTGACAGTATCGAGGTGAACAACACAAGTAAAAGGAATGCAATGGGCACGTTCCGCATATTTATGGCACCAACTATCAACGAGAACGGTAGTCCCCTTAGCTTCGAAGAGCAACGAAAGCTCATGATTGAGCTGGACAAATTCTCACATCAATGTAAGTAATACTAAGGTGATTATACAATCTGGACCATGGTTAGACTTATGTTTGTTAGTGTCGTAGATAATACATATACAGGTATATGTATATGTATAATCTACGACACTAACACTGTAACTCAAAAAATACATAATTCGTTAGTCACTTAGTAGCAGTTAGCTTATTTTCAAATCACGATTTTTTGACTGATCTGAGCCACTAATGGTGTTTTACTCTCGATAATAACGAACTGCTACAGCAAATTAATCATTAGCAAACAAACACCGAAAACTTCGTTTAGTTCAACTACGTATAAAAGTAGACAAGCTAATCCGTGATAAAAACACAATCCACCAATCCTGAATAGTGCGCACCGGGAAGAACACCGTACGCCGACGAAGCGTGGACTCGTCGGTGACCATTCCCTACGAGCGCACATTCCGCAAGCAGTCGGACCGGCCTGGAGACCCGGGCTCCGCCGCCGCCGCCGAGTTCGACTTCTGCGGCTGCGGCTGGCCCCACCACATGCTCATACCGAAGGGCACCACCATCGGCTACCCGATGGTGCTCTTCGTCATGGTGTCCAACTGGGCCGAGGACAGCGTGAGTTGTGTTCCATCCGAATAACAATTATGATATTCAAAATTTAAAGGTGTTTCGTCAAATATTGCGAATAGACAAACACTTAGATCCGGAAAATAATTTATAACTTGAACAAGCCGGGTGAGAATGCTCGAATATTCTAAATCACCATACCCAGTCACTAACAGTCTTTGCAAACTTTAATTAAAAAATTGACTTCCATTCAGTCATTTTTTACATTCCTCAAGAAAACTTCGCAGAATTACTTTCAACTTAAAAATGTTTCAACGCCTACGATGGTACCGGAGTATTAAAATTCCGGGATAGTAAAGTTTCCCAGTTAAAAACTCGTTTTCTGCATTCCTTTGTTAAAAAAAAATATTCCACAGATTCAACAAGACACTGTGGGAGCTTGCAATGACGCTGCTTCGTACTGCGGCATCCGTGACCGCCTCTACCCAGACAGGCGCGCCATGGGCTTCCCCTTCGACCGACCGGCAGGGCGTCACATCAGTAGCGTCGACGACTTCCTCTTGGCAAACATGGCCACAACCAACTGCAATATTAGGTTCACCGACGCGGTCAAACAACGTCCTCTGTAATTTGCACTATCCAAACCAACCCGTTTCTGTTGTATCATTACTCTCTGGACTCGCCCCACTTCCGTTCTATTGCTTTTCTTATGGAAACTACTTCTCATCCAAATACTTGTCGTTGAAGCGTATGCAGCATGTGGTCTCAAGGCATACGCTTCACCGACAAAAGTAGAATTTTAGCTATTATCAGTTTCCGGTGACCTCCTCGGCAGTATCTTTGCTTTTTGCCGTTCTTTGTTCTAGATTAAAATATTTTTTATTTTAGATTTTCTACATATTTTAATGTTCAATCTTAAGTGCAAAGATTAGCACTTAAGGTTTTCGTCGGTGTGGCAATCAGCCGTTTAGCTCAGTGGTTAGAGCGTCAGGCCGCGAATGCCGAAGACGTGGGTTCGATTCCCACAACGGCGACAATATTTTCGCACTTTTTCTACATATTTTAATGTTCAATCTTAAGTGCAAAGATTAGCACTATAAACAATTTAAATTACTAGAAACAATTTAAATTTCTAAAATATTTTCTTTAGCCAAACTTTCACGATGATGTCGGAATAGAATACCACTTCTGTTTTCATTTTTCCTAATTGTGTATTCCTTTTTTCATTTATTTTAATTAATAAGCAAGGTATCTGGTTTAATTTCATCTTCAACTTTTTAAATGAGATATTATATGTTATCTTTTCTCTTTCACCTTTACTTCTTTATATACTTGTATACTTTGCGTTCGTTTCTTTATCATTTATAATATTAATCTTATATTATAGCATCGGGTCAATTTATTTTAGATAGCTCTGTAAGTATATGTACAGTTAATTTGTAAGGCTTATTAAATCGGTTCTTTAAAAGACATTGTTTTATTAATCTGACGTGATCTTTTGAGGTTTTTTTCTTTTCTTAGTAAGCTTGCTGCTTAGCCGAAGACATTGTAAAGTTTCATCGGTCACAAGAACTTTAACGGATTTTTTAAAGTCGAGACACTTTAAAAGGACCAAACGATCTCAATACTCACCTTTCACAAACCATTAATTTTCCACAGTCTATCCAATATTTCTCAGTCTCGAGCTAGTCGTACATGCTCCCCTAAACAACACTACAAGACATTAGCAGCATTCGCATTGTTATTCTGATTTTTTACGGTGGTAGGGCCACGCAGCAGCTTCGGCTGTTGGACGAATGGGCAGGCCCGTCCGGGTAAGTACCACGACCTCACAGAAGATCAGCGTAAAGTGGAAGTATGACAAATACTTTCGCGTTTCGTCTGGTGAGTGAGGTAGCCGGAGCCCAATTTTCAAAAAGTTGTCAACGCATCTGTAACCCTCGGGTGTGGCAGATGTCCATGGGCGGCGGTATTCACTTAACATCAGGTGAACCGTCTGCTCGTTTGACAACTTTTCGCATAAAAAAAAAAAAAAAAACATTTATTCGTTCACTAACGTTCCATCGACAACGTTTAATAAAGCGTAACCATTCTTTCATTGCCGCTAATAATTAAAATTTACAACCCGCTCCTTTCTCGGCGTACTTATAATTGTACTCAATACGATTGACTTATAACGGACTAACTAATAATAAAAGGAAAATAAAATCCAAACACTTATCATCATTTACGAAATAAAAGTAACTGTACTGTAACATTGCTTTGTTAATAAGTATTACGTTTTATTACACACAGACATATTATCCTTTGCAATCTATAACTACCTTAACAGCTTAATCATTCATACAGCATTGATTATTACAAGACGTTGTAATTGCTCAGAAGTCAGAATCTTGTTATTTTTTTTTTATTCTCATGATGTGAATAGCGGCATTATAATATGTAAACGTATGAAAACGTTCTATTTCCTGAATTTTAGACACAGACAACATTAATTGTAAGGTTAAATGTTAAACATTTATTTACTAGCTGTGTCCGCGACTTCGTCAGCGTGAAATTTAAAATAAATAAAATTTCATAAATAAAAGTAGACTATGTTACTCCTTAATATATCAGCTATATGCCAGCGAAAGTCGCACAAAACAGAAGACAGACACAAAACACGGTTGTTTTTTTTTTTTTAATTATAAAGCGTTATTCACATTATTAGACGGACAAAGTGCGTTCTACGTACTTTCATATTCTAGTTCGCGTTAGGGAAATCAAGTGATATTAGATTTTGTGTTAATTCCATTCAGTCATTCACACGGAGGAAGTAGGGCGCAATAGCTTGTTAATATACTTTTATATTAATCAGATTATATTAATAATTAATAAATAACGTAACATAAAATTAAAATGGTCATATTATATTACTAAGATTACTAATTAATTGAGTGTTTAGCAATAAGTATAAATATTTTAATACATTGCATTTAGAAATTTAGAATAAATATTTTTTTATGTCATTGAATAATAAGTAATAAAAAAACTTATTATGACAAACAATAGTCTACTTTCAGTAACTTTGTCGATCATTTATTTTATGATAAAACTACGACTATTTCTTTCAATTGATATTTTTTTGAATTTGAATTCTTGTAAAACCCCTTGAACTCTTAGAAGAATGTCAAATATCTCAACTTTCTATCTCAAATTCTCTAAATATCTCAAATTCTCTATTTTTCTTTTTTCAATTTTTTTTTCATAACCTCATCACATATTACAGGAATAACTGGAAAATAATTTCACTATCCACAAAATATATTGCATATATAGGCTACATAATTATATGGAAAAAACGAAACATCTTAATTATTGGATTGTTTACAAGAAAAGTGAAAAGTTGGCCGAAGCCGGGATGTTACGCGTTAACAAGACAATAGCTCTATTAAAGTTCGCATCATACGTGTAGTTTCTAATCGTAGATAATTCGTAGTCGGAAATTAACAAAAAGCCGACGTTTGTTATAATAAATTCCACTACCCTTCGGTTTCTGGATTACCAGACAGTATCGTTTGCAGGTTGCACGTGAATTAATGTAAAGATTTATTGTAAATATGTTAGGTACATAGCTCTAATAAAATCAAACTTTAGACGGAAACCATTGTGTAGAAATGCGAGCGTTAACAATATTGGTGAGTGGCTAAACTGTTATCGTTATGACAATTACACATTTCGTTATGACCTTTCGTTTAGATAATGATAGTGAATGTGTAACAGTAGTCGTGACGTCAAATATAATCCGGAAACTTCTCGATTGATGATAAGTTATAGCTTAGTCACGTAAAGTAATAATAGTAGCACACACCGCGTAAAGTAGCATAGTATTTAGTAGCATAGTATTCATAGTAACTTGTGTAATTTCTTCAGTGTATTTTCTTGAGGGGCGTTCGCTTTCAGTATACTCGTTAGCAAATCGTGGTTACGGCATGAATGAAATTGGCAATATTAAGTGATGAATTACCATGTTCCCGGAGAAAAAGTAAAACTACGCGAACCACTCTCTGCAGCCTACAAATCATTGCCTATTTAACAAACTTAACTACATTCATTTTAATTTCATTTACTATAGGCTATGTACTAAATCATTTATTCATTCATTTTGATAAATCTTAACGTTTTATATATAGAAAATGTTTGTTTTTTCTCAACATCACAATAAAATGCGACGATATTGATAAGTGCTACGCCTTTAATTTTTTTATCATCATTATTTTTAATACCTATATACTTTAAATAATCGTTGTATACTTTAAAGATCGTGTGTAGTGGTACCGTTTTCTTTTTTACAATCTCGATACAATTATTATGATATTTTTAATCCAAAGCCCAACTCATATTTCAGACGCTGTCCACTTTAGCCACCCTAGCTACGATGTTGCCAATTTCGTTTGACTACAGAGGTAATCACAGAAAGCCTTCTAATTATGACTTCAACACAGAAAATAACAAAATAAACAAACATAATAGACATAATGGTAAATGCGATACGGTTATATATTTAGTAACTAATAACAAAGGTACTTTATATATCTATCACAATAACAATAACGACGAGAAGGCAAATGTAAAGCATTATATTCCTAAATCAGAAGAAGATAGTTTTGACATACTTGATTACATTACGTTTCCGAAAAGTATTTTCAGAGAACGTCCTTCTGGTTACGAGTTTGTACATAATTCACATCCAAGAAATAACAAGGAAGATAGGAATATTGATGAATTCAAAAAAATGTCTAACACTGGCTGGTTGAGTGACTTTTCCAACAATGAAAAGAAAAATGAAGAGGCGTTTATAGACAACACAGACCCAAGAAATGACAGAGGAGATTGGGAAGATGCTGAGTTAAATGAAAATAATGCCAAAACAAGTTACAACTTGACACAATCTAAGATGGAAGAAAATACGCGCAATAAAAACCAATCAAAACTTTACGCTGGAGAGTTGAATGACTTCTTTAATGATACAAAACATGAAGCAAATAAAACCGACTATGTAGTATCAAAAAAGCAAACAAAAACCCTTGCTGGAGATTTGAATGACTTTTTAGATGATGTAAATGATGAAACAAACAAAACTGAACATATCGTACCTATAAGCCAAACAAAAATCTATGTTGGAGAGTTGGATGACTTTTTTGATAATGCAAAGAAAACCAAAGGTACAGTATCTAAAAACCAAACAAAATTTTTTGCTGGAGAATTGGATGAATTTTTTGATGATGCAAAGAAAATAAAAGGTACAATATCTAAAAACCAAACAAAAACCTTTGCTGGAAAATTGGATGACTTTTTTGATGATGTTAAACATGAAGTCAAGAAAAACGACGATACAGTAACTAAAAACCAAACAAAAATGTATGTTGGAGTGTTGGATGACTATTTTGATTATACAAATAAAATGAAAGGTACAGTATCTAAAAACCAAACAAAAATCTTGGCTGAAGATTTGGATGACTTTTTTGATGATGTTAAACATGAAGTCAAGAAAAACAACGATACAGTGACGAAAAACCAAACAAAAATCTATGTTGGAGTCTTGGATGACTTTTTTGATGATGCAAAGAAAACCAAAGGTATTGTATCTAAAAATCAAGCTACAATCTTTGTTGGAGAATTGAATGATTTTTTTGATGATGCAAAAGTCAAAGCAAATAAAACCAAACATACAGTATCTAAAAACCGAACAGAAATCTATGCTGGAGAGTTGGATGACTTATTTGATCAGGTTAAACATGGAACAAATAAAGATGAAGATACGGTTTCTGGAAGACGACCCAGAATTAATGATGCAAAAGATGAAGCGAATAAAAACAAAGAAAAGGTCTCCGGAAAACAACTTAAAATATTCGCTGGCGATTTAAACGACTTTTTTGATTATTTAAAAGCGAAAACAATAAAAAATGCAGATCCAATATCTAAAAGGCAATCCAAAATCTACGGTGACGAGTTAAATGATTTCTTTTATGATAACACTAAGGAAGATGAAAACAAATCCCGCAACAAATGTGTATTTAAAGATAAAGAAAAGGAACAACCCAGAAAGTACCGGTAATTGAGCTGATTTTCGCAATTATACTAAAAATTAACAGATGAACATAACAGAATACAAATAAATGGGACAAACAACGAACAGAAGATAACACTGGCGAGTGAATAGACTTTTCAATTTAAAAGCCCAAAGGCGACTTTAAGGCATAGTATATAATAATTAATCATCTAATCCTCACCGATAAAGAATGTTTTTTGCAGGGACGTTGTTCAAACAATGCGATGCAAGCCCTTCAAAAATAAAGATGTATAAAGGTGTAAAAAAGGAACGTGAATAGAAACATTTAAAAAGTTTAAATGTAAATTGTCTTAGAATAAATAATACTATTTTAACTACACTATTTAGATCTCTGTAATTATGAAGAGGTTTTATCGTGTTAGTTACGAAATTAAATACCGTTAATTTATTTTTAAGATTGTAAAAAGTTTTTTTTTAATAAATGTAATTAAAAAATCGTTATGTATTATGTAGGTTAAATACGGTACGTATGTAAACTTATTTTCTGTAGGAGTTTATAGGAAGAGTTCGTATTAAATTAAATTACATCCTAGTTAACCAAGCAACTTTAATAATTAATGAAATTAAAGTGTCTGTTTGTAATGACTAAATAACGATTATGATTATTTTTTATTTTTTATTTAATGCTAGTGCGCTGAAGATGAAATAAAAGTATGACTACTGTATTATGCTGTACTTTTTGTCATTACTATTAACCTCTTCATAGTATTAACAATCTTAATTGCCTCAAATGTCTCAGGGTATCCATATTGGTAGCGCTGAAAATTCGTCGACAATTCGTCTGTTAGCATTTGAATGTTTATACAATATTTTTACCTAAATAGCAATTTTATTAAATTTTTGTCAGTTTATCCAGAGCCGTGATAGTTCAGTGTCCAACTTTTAATTTAACATACTGAGCAGCCTGAATTCAATAAACAGTTGCTAAGGTATTGGCTTCGGTGTGGGTTCAATTCCCACGCGGTAACAACTATTTGTATGACTCTCAAATAATCGTTTCACATCTGGGTGTTTGTCCACGTAAAAACGTCCTTACAACACAGAATAATGTTGTCTTGTATCTTGTATTAACTGATGAGATTATTTAAAGCTTCATCTAACGCAGAACCGGTGGGCTAGCCAGAACCCAGAATAATGTTATCATAAGGTAAGGGCAATGTTTTTTTAAAAGAAACAAGAAACAAGAAAGTGATGTTATACAGATTAACTTAGCTACCAACTTTTAGTTAAAAAAACAGTTTGTATGTGTGCGTAATTACCAACACAAACATAATGTAGGCAGTGTGGCGCGAGGGTTTAAACAGAATAAACAATCTTGAGCTGTTATAATCGTAAGACACTTTAATTTATTCAGTTGAATTAAGGTTTTAGACGTAGTAATAAAGCAAGCAAACAAATATTCGAATGATCCAATTAGGGTTATTCGTAAGTCTAGTTTCAAACCTAAAACCCTACTGCGACAAATACGCATACTTGAAAGCTATAAACAAGACTTCATTGTTGGTGTATTTATGTATTAAAATAACAAACAGTCACACAATGAAATATAACTATGAAAACAATATTTTTATTTTGTTAGTCTAATTTTATTTTTTGATTGTTGATTATTAATAATTCATCGATGTATCAAAATTGAAGTCTTTTGATCGCTTTTTGGTGTCTTTTTATGTCGGAAGTTAATTTGTTTAATGTTTTTTTAACGTTAAATGAATATTTATCGTAAAAAAGATCTCGCCTTTCTAGAGTCTATGACTTTGGCCAATACGCAATTTTGGTAACACCAAGTCAATTTACGACTTTTAATGGAAAGCGGAGACAATCCACACGTCAAATAAACATAATTATGTTTTATGTAGTAAAGTAACACTGGGAACTCAATAAAAACGGAGATTCCAGAGTTAAAGTAAAATTCAATTACAATGAAATAAATAAAAATCATTAACAGTTAACATCTGTAAATTATAACTTTAATATAACTTGGCTTTAGGTGATTCGGCGCATTTTTGTATGTAATGGCTGGATACGCAGAGGTTTTTTTGCTTGTATGGATTGCACGCGCCTGACCACTCATGTTTTCAATTTATCAATCACGACGTGAAACTGACAATTCAAAATAAAATATTTAGGTTTTTTTACTTGTATAGCGGTATCAGGACTATTTCGGAAAAATGATCTGGGACTATTCCTTCATTGATGAGTTGAGTCATGGTTTGCTCGCCTTTTACAAATCATCCCAAAGCCGGACACGGTAAATATGAATGTTCTAAGTTCACAAAGTGCCACAAAAAGCTTTCTGCTTATAAATTTCTCTTCTCGTCTAATTATACTACCCGATACTACTCTATTCTCTCGATCTCTCATTTTAAAATGTAAACCACAGCTATTAAGTTTCGATACCTAAATAATTTGAAATGATAAAAAGATATCGTGCACCCCATTGATTAAACTGATGAAACAATATAACATTGGTAACTTGTAACAATGATACTTAACTCCAAAATTTAAAAAATTACCAATCTTATTGAAAATAAAACCTTGACGCTTAAATACGTTGCAGTCGTAGTATAATATGCGTTTACGATATGAGCGCTCGATAAGTTCCACTTCGACGGGTCGCTTGCGTGTCGTAATTTATTGCAATTTGGAATAGTTTTAATAAAAATGTTATTTCTAATTAAATGAAGCAATCTACAAAAATCTTTAGAATTAGATTCTACGAAAAACATAGTTTACTTTCATATAACTATTCTTTTTTTTGAAATTGCGCTTTATTAAGACACAAAATTAGCGATAAAATTGAGATATGTCGCAAAAATTGGACTACCTTTATTATTGTACTAATTTATGTAATTAACATTCGAGAAAATAGTAAACTATGTAGAGATTAAAAGATATGTCTTATGCTTATTTTAGTTTTTCAAAGTATTTTTTTAATATAATGAATCTGCGATGAATTTTCATTAAAAAAGTTGTGATAGAGTGATCACAACATTATTTAGTTATATTAGTCATTTTTACAGGTATTTTTGAATGTCAGAATCTAACTAAACATGTTAAATAAGGCAACTAAAATCTTAAAAAATCGTAAAATACCTCTATTGTGTGTTATAATAAGACGGATTGTTCCATTCCTTTGCAGTAACTCTAATAAACAATGAGACAAATATATTATTAATAGTTACTATTATAATTATAAAGTACCCGGAGGACCGAGCTTTGCTCGGTTTGTTTTTTTTTTTGGTAAATCGTGTGTTTTCGAAATTACATTTAGATACAAATTACTGAGTAATGAAATATGCGTAGATCTTACTGACCTAATAATAAGAAAATATGAAGTGGCGGTTTTCACAAAAGAAACAACTTTAAAAAAAAGGGAAAAAAGTAACGAAATAACAAATCGACAAAAAAATTAAAAATAAAGAAAGCAATGATATGGAATCGAAAAAAAGTAAAAAAAAGAGTGTGTAAATGATCGTGATACGAACCACGGCCGTCTGTTTTGGGGCCGCCCGATTACCGACCGAGCTATTATGACATTTTCTTTTGCGGCGAAATTTACCGTCATATTCCAATGATATTTTTCATTCCCTGAAAAAAGGGATAAAGGGACATTTTCTAAAAATGAAACCTAGCTAGATCCATTTTTCGCCCCCGAATCTACGCACATACAAAATTTCATGAAAATCGCTGGAGCCGTTTCCGAGATTCCGAATATATATATATATATATATATATATATATATATATATATATATATATATATATACAAGAATTGCTCGTTTAAAGGATAAAGATTTACATTACTTTTTAGTTCAGAGTTATAACAATTTAGCAATTTGTGGACGTCACTACGTTTTTTTTTTAATAAAATATATATGCAATTGTTAAACACTTATGGTAACAATCACCATAACGGTTCTATTAATCGGCATTGACCGAATATTCAAACAGAAGAATGCAATACGAAATCAGAAACTATAATTACATCATAATTGATCACTCATTATTCTAAATTAGGCCGGGAACGGTGTTATATTTATATTACCGGTAAAATATAACGGTCCCATAACCGATAATTACTTTGAGGTCTTAATTAATTCCACAAGAAATATTTTTCGAACGGAATAGATAATATAAATAACATGATATTCGTTGTTCGAATCAGTAGTCAATCAGCTCCCAACATGGTGCAGACAATACAGGTATGTTCGTAGCTTGTACTGTATTAATAATTAATACATTTCTCTCCGGAACATTATGGCGCGACAGCTTAGTTTAGCTGCATCTTATGTTTTGTGTATATCATTTGTGTTATCGTATAAACTAGCTGTTAACCGGGGCTGCGCCTGCGCGGTCAAAGTGAATTAACAATGAGTTTTTTTATACACCATAATAGCTCGCAGATGTCAGATTTTTGTCCTACATACTTTACACTTATTGTTTTACTTTGGATAGTTCACATAATATCTTTATACATTATAGCCTATGTGTTATTCTGATGTATTACCTATATTATTGTAAAGTTTCGTTAAAATCCATTCAGTAGTATTTGCGTGAAAGAGTAACAGACATCAATCCATACATACAAACTTTCGCGTTTATAATAATAGTAAGGAAGAAAGGACTATTACTAGTACTAGTATAGTACTAGTACGACTTGGCCGATGAGAAATTTTTTCGCATTCACGTTCACGCCAATTCCAGATCGTCGCTCTCTGCCTGGCTCTGATTACCGGGGTCTGCGGAGACCAGAACCCACCCGCGGCCGCAGTGTGCTGCATAGCCACCCCGTCGCCAACCAGCCCCTGCCAAAGCGCCACCACTACCACAACGCCGGCGCCGTTCGTCTGTCCCTTGGCGAATGGCACGCCCTCTAGCCCCGCCCCCGCACAGATGACCAGCGAAAAACCGTCGACAATCAAAGAAAAACCGTCGACCAGCACAATCGTCGCCAGGCAGCCCGACCCGAATCCGTCGGAGCAACCGCCCAACTTCGTAATTCCAACCTACCCCGGCATCCCACACATGCCCATGCTCCCATACCCCATCCTCGGCAACTACATGCCCATCCTCCAGGACCCGACCACGGGGCAGAGGTATTACGTCATGCGAAACCCCAACCTGCCCACAAACAAGTACTCGCAAATCCTGAACATATACACGCCGGACATGAACCCCGGCTACTACATCGTGCCAACTGCAGAGCCGCAGGCAAACAACGGTACCACCACTGTTAAGCCGAGCGATAAAAGTTAATTTGGCAACAACCATTATTTATAATAATACTAGAATTAATGTCTCTCAATTATATAATGTACAGTGTTAATTTAATACCAATCTGAATAAATTATTTTTTAATTTATTATTTGTTTCTACGTTAAAATCAACGCGCACACGCTAACTAGAATAAGTTTTAAATAAAAGCTGGGTTCTCGGGACCAATCAGGTAAAAGTTTGCAGGCGTAAATGAACGAAGGGGCGAAATGATGGATTGCTTTTAAAGATGTGCAAATAAAACAAACATATAAAAGCGATGATATATTAAGACTTACAAATTTTATAACACTTACAATACGTTTAGAGAACTACACTAAGAAATGACCCGTTTATAAATAAACCTAATTATAACTAAATTACGCGTTAGCTTTTTCCATTCGAACTTGCAGAGTTGTCGTTTGAATCTATGACGTTTTCCAAATTGGAAAGTAAACAATTTGAACGGTCGATGATTCCTCCATTGTTTGGTAACTTTTGGTAATAATATGGCTTTCGTATAATAGCGTCTATGTCCTTTGCGGTATACTCGTCCCGGCATCCACATGGTTTCGTCCTCATTTTATTTGATCTACAGTGAATATTAAAATTTTACTAGATTCTAGCCGTTACTACTTGTCAACACAATATTGAAAATCAATTTCTAAAACTCGATCAATACATTCGACATAACATGGAATGAATGGTTTAAAATATGTTTTATAACGTATTACATAATCAAGTAATAATAAATCATAGATGTTGTTAAGATATAGAGAAGAGAACAAAGTAATAGAAGCAAATGTCAAAAATATTAATCGTTGAATTTATAATAAACATAGTGTGTATAAAAAATTCATCATAACAGAAAACTAAATGTTACAATTGGTTTACAAAGAAAAAGTGGGCGAACATTTTAAAATGTCTACCAAATTGGTAGGAAAATGTAAGCTCTACCAAATTGTTTGCTCGGCCCTCTTCCCTACATCACTAGGCCAATTTATATGACCTACCCCTGCTGAGCACGCAGCCTGGTCGCGTCTGTGAAGCGGATAGTGCACTCCCTAATCGCCATGTTGGGCTTCAGGAAGTCCGAGAGAATGGCAACACCGGGTCCAGCGGGACGGTCGAAGGGGAATCCCATGGGCCGTTTGTCCGGGTAGCGTCGGTTGCGAATTCCGCAGTAAGACGCAGCGTCGTTGCAAGCACCTACCAAGTCTTGTTCAACCTGGTGATGGGATTTAATAATCATGATTAGAACGCATTATTATCGACTGTGGTAGGGCCACGCAACAGTGTTCACTGTTGCACGAATGGGCAGGTCCGTCCGGGTAAGTACCACGACCTCACGGGAAAGCGGCGTAAAGTAGAAGTGTTGCACTTCTGCGTTTCGTCTGGTGAGTGAGGTAGCCGGGGCCCACTTTATTAAGAGGTGGCTACGCATTAGCAACCCCACGGGTGTTGCAAATGTCCACGGGCGGTGGTTATCACTTAGCAGGTGAACCGCCAGCTCGTTTGCCACTTTCTCACATATAAAAAAAGCATTAGATGTGATAATTTTGAAGAAATGTAGTTCGTTTCATTTCGGAATACACTTTAACATACTCTAAAAGTTAGCTGTAACTATTTCCCAAAAAGCTCTTACTCCTTATTGAAGTTAAACTGACGTAACACTCTTTACGCGTATGAAAGTAAAACAAAGGCCTCGTCATGAGAATTCGTCACGAATCCGTCACGATCATGACCATTGATGATACATATATACTGAAACTCATGACGCTTGCATCACGTATACGCACTGATGCGATAGATTTAAGAATCCAGGTAGAGAGAAAGAGACAAAATATTATTGGTTGCTTTATCCTAATGTTAATATACATATTTGAAATATAAACAACCTTATAATTCTGTGCATACGTATATTTTTTTAAAATACTAGCCACCTAGACTAGTTTAGCTTGACGAATTAGCTTAGCTTAAAGTGATGGCTCATACAAAATTCGTTTTTCCGAAGGCATACGTCAGTTTAACCAACTCCGGCAGACGCGCAAGTTTGCCTAATTTTTTTTTACGTAGGAAAAGTCCTTTATGATCCCCCGCCGCCTTGGTAGGCAGCAGGGGTATGTGGGAGTTATGGGGTAAACATTAAAAAACCCACGTTGCGCCTGCTCTGTCGCTTTTGCCGGGGACGACACGAAAACGCAATCTTCCGCGAACTCCGGGGCGACTGTGGCCTACCCGGGACTCCTCTCTCCGGGTGTTTGGACACCCGGTCCAGCCAACTGCCATAGCGGCCCTCCGCGGGGCGGCAGTCGGAGCGCGCCTCACCTTATCCTCGTCCCAGTTGGTGACCATAGCGAACAGCACCACCGGGTAGCCGGTGGTGGTGCCCTTCGGTATGAGCATGTGGTGGGGCCAGCCGCAGCCGCAGAAGTCGAACTCGGCGGCGGCCGCGGAGCCCGGGTCGCCGGGCCTGGCCCCCTGGCCGCGGAACGTGCGCTCGTAAGGGATCGTCACGGACGAGTCGACGCTGCGACGGCGCACGGTGTTGTTCCCCGCGCTCACTGGAACGGGGCCTAGTGTTAGGGCCCTCAACAGCCGTTCTTTTGACGTGGGGGAAACGCCTACGCATACTCGCCCTCGCGGGGGCTAGAGCGGGCTATGTCGGACTCGCGCCGACTAAAACCCCCACGATGTACCACCTAGGCGCATATCGGCAGGGCCACCGGAACGCTTTCGCACACCTCCGCGAACCTGCCACCGCCTTCAACAGCCCTGCAATCTCGGGCTCATACAATTGCTGGCTAAGGTGTCCGCTGCCTCTCGTAAAAGGCGACTAAATGGCAACACGGATTGGCAGCGGCACGGTCAGCTCGAGACCGCTGCGTTCGATAGGAGATCCTCTAAACGAACAGAAGGTGGCCACCGGTGGCGGAGACCTAATGTTTGCCGGACCGGATATCGTAGCACTGGAGAAGTGGAGATTCAATATTTGCTAACATCGCTACATTGTATTGTATGTGAACATAATCGATGACTCCGTAGCGCAGTCGCCAAGGCATCGGCTTCGGCGTCGGGGGTCGTGGGTTCGATTCCCACACGGGACAGCTGTTTGTGTGACACACAGGTTGTTGTTTCGCATCTGGGTGTTTGTCCGTGTGAAATTTATGTTTGTAAAACGTCCTTACAACACAGGATAATGTTATACTAAAGTAAGGGCAATGTTTAAAAAAAGAACAATGTGAACATAATAATAACTTTTTGTAACGCCATAAAATAAAATAAAAAAAGGAGCTAGAGACAGCAAAATTGGCTTATACTCGTATTGGCGGAATATCCTTATGAACACCACGTACGGGGCTGTGTGAACTTGTCCAGCTCAATCATGAGCCTCCTCTGGTCCTCGAAGCTGAGCGGGCTGCCGTTCTCGTCCAGGGTCGGCGCCATAAATATCCGAACGGTGCCCGTGGCGGCCCGGCCGCTGGTGTTGTTCACTTCGATACTGGAACAGGATTCAACAGATTGTTCTCAGTGTACACGTCCATAAATCTCGGCCGGTGCTTAGGCATTTATCTGCAAATGCTTTGGCTGTATCTGTTTACCCCGTAAATTATAGTTTAAAAATAATAATAAACACGCTTTCGTAGATAACCGTTACTAAAAAGTAGAAAATAATTTTTAATATATTTAAATTAAGGTTAGCGTTTTTATATAATAGTAGTAAGTAAATAAAGGCTATTTTTATTTTATTTAGCGTTTTTATAAAAAAAATATTTTATTGTAGAAAAGCGTGGGGTGCTTGGAGTCAATTGTTATAATATTTTAATGAAAGATATTGTTAAAAGTGTGGACATATAAAAAGCATCCCACATACACACCAAGATAATAAAAGCGTGTTAAAAATATGAAAAATGGTTCTTGGAGATATAACAGCTAGGTTCTTTTAATTCAATTGCACAATTCGTCGAATGAATTCTTTTCACTGTTTCATAACGAGGTTCCTCTGACGGAGGAGAAACAGGCGAAAGAAAATCCCGCTAAAGTATTGGAAACTTCCGTAGATCTACTTACACGTATTAAATTAAACTAGTTTCATTTAATATCATCACATAGTATAAAACAAAGTCGTCCCGCTGTCCCTATTTATGTTTAGGTCTTTAAAACAACGCAAAGGATCTTGAATCGGTTTATTTTACTAGATAGAGTGATTCAAGAGGAAGGTTTTATATATATAATACAATGCACCCGTGCGAAGCCGGGGCCGATTGCTAGTGTAGTGTTCGCGTAAAATCACGAAGTCAACACACTCACACGTAGCTGAACGCGTCGTGCTGCAGGTGGGTGAAGCGGGCCAACACGCTGCCGCGAGGAGTGAAGTCGACGCCGCGGCTCAGGTCCACCGTGCTCTGCTCCCACTGCGTTGCGAACGTGTTCGCGCCGGCACCGCCCTCGACGCTGACGGACGACACGCGGATGCCCGGGAAGTCCAGCTGGGAAACGCGAACTTTAACCGTTTCGCCTTCCGGTGGCATTGAGCGTGCGAGCGGGCGGCCCACCTGATATTGTGATCACCTGTGTTCATCCACACTGACGGTCTGTGGGTGCGTTGCAATCAAAAAAGTGGGCCACAGTCACTTGCTCAGCTATCATACTACCACTTCTCACGGACGACACGCGGATGCCCGGGATGTCCAGCTGGGAAACGCGAACTTTAACCGTTTCGCCTTCCGGTGGCATTGAGCGTGCGAGCGGGCGGCCCACCTGATATTGTGATCACCTGTGTTCATCCACACTGACGGTCTGTGGGTGCGTTGCAATCAAAAAAGTGGGCCACAGTCACTTGCTCAGCTATCATACTACCACTTCTCACGGACGACACGCGGATGCCCGGACAGTCCAGCTGGAAAACGCGAACTTTGGCCGTTTCGTCCTTTTTTAATGAGAAAGAAAAGCCCGTATGCCACTTTCTCAGAAAATTTCCGAGAAAGTGGCATACGGGCTGACGGTTCACCAGATGCTAAGTGGTAACCGCCACCCATGGACATTTGCAACACCCGTAGGGTCGCAAATGCGTTGCCGCCTATAAGCATGGGGGGCCCCGGCTGCCTCACTCACCAGACGAAACGCAGTGTAACACTTCTAATTTACGCCGGTCTTCTGTGAGGTCGTGGTACTTACCCGGTCGGACCTCCCCATTCGTATAACGGTGAACACTGTTGCGTGGTCTTCCCGCCTGTGTTCATCTACACTGGCGGTTTGTAGGTGCGTTGTAATAAAAAAGTGGGCCCCAGTCACTTGCTCAGCTATCATACTACCACTACACCTCGGTCTTCTGTGCAGTGCTTCGTAAACGAGCCAACCTGTTTTTATGGGACAAGGTGGACAACTAACGTTTCCCTCTTGTTCAGACCGTCTGGTTCGCCTGCTGTTTAGTGATTATCAATGCCCATGGAGGCCATGGCATCATTTATGAATATGAAGGTGCGGTTACGTTGTTCACCTATATCACAGAACGAAATACTAGTTACCTCGTACTGTTACTTCGTACTTTACATAGGTCCTTTGTGATGTTATCTATCTAATATAATATAAAATTCTCTAGTCACGGTATTTGTAATTGAACTCCTCCGAAACGGCTCGACCGATTTTCGTGAAATTCTGTGTGCATATCGGCCAGGGTGGAGAATCGGACAACGTCTATTTTTCATCCCCCTAAATGTTAAGGGTGGTCCACCCCTAATTTTTTTTATATATAATTTTTTGTTTTTATTTTTTTATGATACAGCATACAAAAATACATACAACCCTAAATTTTCACCCTTCTACACAGACATAGTCGCGGGCAGTAGCTAGTTTGTTATAAAGTTCACTTCTACTTTAACTTAAACGACGGGCTTTGTACGAATAGATATACAAATTTCTATCCGTTTTTATGTATTTGCAACAATACGATTATATTCCTTGCCGCCTCTTTCAACCAAGTAATTAGAGCATCAATTTTTTATAGATATAAAATAGCATAAGAACAAAACAATTAGCTGGTATGTGTGATTAAGTGACATTGTTGGGAAGAGTCAGTAGGTTCATTTATCACTAAAAACTGTCATCAATTATTTACTGTTTCTTCGTCGTTAACACAAAAATAAGGTAAAGGACGAGCTGAGATTTTACTAAATTGCTCCCTAACATTCACTGAAACGTACCCGGTCATCTCCATATACGGGCAGCTTGCTCTTGTAAATGTTGAAAATGTCGTCGATGTAGGAGTGCCAGCGGTAGAACACTGGATCGCGCATAGCCGTCGCCGAGTCGCCCATGACTCCAAATGATTCCTAGAAGACGCAAAATATCTGACTCTTACCAAGTACATTTTTTTTTATGCGAAAAGTTGTCAAACGAGCAGACGGTTCACCTGATGTTAAGTGAATACCGCCGCCCATGGACATCTGCCACACCCGAGGGTTACAGATGCGTTGACAACCTTTTGAAAATTGGGCTCCGGCTACCTCACTCACCAGACGAAACGCGAAAGTATTTGTCATACTTCCACTTTACGCCGGTCTTCTGTGAGGTCGTGGTACTCACCCGGACGGGCCTGCCCATTCGTGCAACAGCCGAGGCTGCTGTGTGGCCCTACCACCGTACTGCTCTCCGTACCTCTGCTACAGCAGATATCCAATGGCGGCGGTATTCACTTAACATCAGGTGAACCGTATGCTCGTTTGGCAGCTTATCACATTAAAAAAATATATATATATAACTAAGGCTTCATTACCGGGGGTCTCAGATTCGATTCCTACACGGGATAAGTATTCGTGTGACCCTCACATAATTTTTCTCGATCTGGGTGTTTAATCCCTAAGAGGTTTTGATATAAGGTAAAGAAAAACTAAGCAATACCATGCTGACCCCCACCTAGGTGAAACAAACGCACGAGAAAGAAGTACAATTGTGTTGATGATACGAGATGGCGATTTATATTGGTAATCGATTGGTCCATTCACACGCAGTCCTAAGTTATAAAAAAGTCTAAATAATTTTTAAATTAAGATATATAAAATAAACAATTCGTTTACCTGTCAGTGCTTCTTTTACCGATCGTCCAACCCCTTAATGAGGCCAGAGACACTATTTTCGAATGATCTTTGAATTTTCCTTGCTGTCTATTTTAAGAGACGAACCAGCTTACCAAGTTACGATGGTCGGGGTCGTGCGAGAAGGAGATGAAGACGTGGCCCATGTTATGCAAGTCCCCGTAGTAGACGCGATTGCGGCTGATGACGGACGACTCCATCAGGTTGCCCAGCACGTCAATGCCTGTCGCCTCGTCCAACTGCATCTGGCTGCCGTTGGGCTGTGGGAATAATGTGTTGTCTTCGGCAAATGCATTCGAGCAAGATGAATCTCAAAGTGTGCTAAAGAATCAAATTCAGTGGACGGCCGATGAGATAAATGTTGTCTTTGGCAAAAGCATTCGAGCAAAATTTATTTCACAATGTGGTGAAGCCAAATTCACTGGACGGGCGATGAGAAAAATGTTGTCTTTTACAAATACATTCCGGTAAGATTAATTTCAAAGTGTGGTTAATGACCGAGTTCATTGAACGGTCGATGAGAAAAATGTTGCCTTTGACAAATGCATTCGATAAAGATCAATTAAAAAGTGTGGTAAATGGCCAGGTCCACTGGACGGTCGATGAGAAAAATGTCTTTTACAAATGCATTTGCATCACAAGTTGGTAGGCACGTTGGCCACCTTAAAAGCCCTACAGCGAAGAGTGTTGCGTGGTCCTACCACCGATTCATCCCGATCATGGAATTAATTTCGGTGCACAATCAGCACCTTGTAAAAATGGGAAGTAAAGAGCTGAAAAAGCTGAACGTAGAACTTTTCTACGTCCTATACCAACAGCACGGTTTTTCCTCTATAACTGTTATGAAGCACTTCGAGTAGATTTGAACTTACTATGTTTATGTACTTACTAATACTATGGAATTGCTTTCGATAGCTTGCAGGAAGCGATCTCTCCAGGTCTCGAGCTCGGTGATATCACTCCTGATCTGATCCACCGGTCTGTCCAAATCTCGGATCGTGGAGCCGGAAAATCTATAATTCAATAGACGAGAGCAAAACTTATAACGTTCCCAAGCCACGAAGACCAATGAGCAGGCGGTTGTTCATGAATCAGACAATCCGCAACATTGATGTAGGTGTGTAACCATCAAAAGAACAGCAGCTCGAAAGTATTTTTAAAAGGCTGCCACGGTTACGTCTTTGACCAGATGAAAAGAGCAATAACAAATATTTTACTTCAAGTCGTCTGAAAGACCCTTACTTGAGAAAGAATTCACTACTGCTGTAGCAATCTTACATAATGGCATCCAAAACAAATATAACCTTTCGTTAACTCAGAAAATAACTATATTCTTCGGAACATAAATATCGCTAGTAATAAATTGCTGTCAATCGATTTCGTATCTGACTTCTTATTGTCAATTTCTTTCTATGCAATTATTTTCTTACCGTATGCAATTAAATTTATTCAATATTTTATTAATTAAGGTATGAAAATAAGATGATTTAATAATACGGGCACAGTTTCTGAGTCTCAAATTAACTTTTAACTTTCTGTCCGAAAGGTCTATAAAGAGATGAATGAAGACGTACCTCGGTGGCCAAGCGCGACTTGCGACCTGGGAATCCAGCTTGGGGAAGTAACCCTCCTCGATTGGCTCACGGAAATTTCTGTAGCGGTTAATCCTGCCCAAGTTGTTGCAGAAACGCTCCGCGGTATATCTGAAGTTATCGCCATGTTGGTTAATAACTACACACTGGTATATATTTTTTTATTATTGAAACCGATTAAGAGAAGATTTACAGAAACTGATATAGCACTCCCCTACATCTTTATAACGTCGAAATTTATAATAACTGCAACACCCGTAAGGGTTGAAACCTTTTTGCAAAGTCGACGCACCGGTTATCTCTCTCACCAGAAACGCAAAGGTATAAAACTTCCACTTCACAACAAAATGTTGTCAAACAGATAGACGGTTCACCTGATGTTAAGTGAATACCGCCGCACATGGACATCTGCCACACCCGAGGGTTACAGATGCGTTGACAACTTTTTGGAAATTGGCCTCCGGCTACCTCACTCACCAGACGAAACGCGAAAGTATTTGTCATACTTCCACTTTACGCTGGTCTACTGTGAGGTCGTGGTATTTACCCGGACGGGCCTGCCCATTCGTGCAACAGAGAATTCTGATTGCGATTTAGAAATTCTGTTGCGTGGCCCTACCGCGGTAAAAATTTCGTTCGTGAATGCTACTAATACTTGTCTACTACGGATTTGTCGACGTTTACAATATTGAACAAAAAACAAAGTATGTTTAACCTTTTAAGTGTGTATAATACGTTTTCAGACAAAAAAAGAGGATACCTACGGAGTTTCTTTCGTTTATTTCTTCTCCGTTAGAGGAACCTCATTACAGTGGTAGGTAGATTTAAAAAAAATGTGTAACGACAGATGATGTGTTTTCTATTTTGGTAAATCAATGATTTTATTTGAACAGGTTTTAGATTTGGCGGATCGTCAAGTGGTATGGTGATGAATACAGCTCGACAAAAACTCTTTCTTTGAAAGCCTACGTTATTGATTTCTTGTTTTTACGTGAATATTATACGTATTAAATCAAAGTATTTTACGGATTTTATCGCGTTTTAATTTTGATTTTTAATTCGCGACGTTTCGAACCTTTTCCAACGTCAACTTTGACATCAAGACGTTCACATACAACAACAACAGCTCACGCCCAGTTTATGAAACACTGATCATCGTCGAATTCAACTAACCAGCCGTCAAATGGATTTTCAAATGTTATTTGAGTTGCCAAATGGATTGTCAAACTCTGAATTGATCATTCTGATCATTAAGAAGATAATTCTGATCAATTCAGAGAGACAGCTGATTAGTTGACTTCTACGATCATCAGTGTTTCAGAAACCGGGCGTTAGTCTGTCCCGTTACCATGGATGCTGGAAAGGGTTCGAAACGTTGAGAATTAAAATTAAAACGCGATAAAATCCATAAAACGGTTTCATTTAACAACATTATGTTTATTTATTTAATTATGTCTGTTTTTTTTAATTATGTCGCCGGGAGTTCAAAAACAAAATAAAAAATGCGATATAATCCGTAAACTAGTTTCATTTAATATGTTAGTTTTTATAAAACAGCGGTACCTGGCGATGATCTGCTGGTGCATGTAGTAGAACAGCTCCCCGCGGCGGTCTTTGTTAACCACGGCGCGGTCTGCCGCGTCGAACGGGTACACCAGGTGCCAGTGCCAATGGTGGAGGTTGATGCCAAGGTCCTCACGGAAGTAGGCGACTCGCTGCTCAGGCTCAGAGTCCGCGGCGGTGTAGTTTTGCGGGATGGTGATGGGCATCTGATAAGAGTGCACAGAATTCCTAGATCGCACAAAGCTATGTCTTAATTCTGATTTTTTCAAAGCAAAAATTTCGTAATCTACCACGGGCTCACGTATTTCTATACATCTAAAGGCTTGTTTATACGCTAATTATACAAGTCGCTATCGGAGAACTCAAAAAAAAAAAAAAACAATTTGCTTCAACTTATTTATTAGAACTTACAATTTAAACTATAACTAAACAATAGCTAGCCTAACCTACGTCTGATTCCGATCGATGCTGGATCAAGAATGACTGTCTTACTAAAAGTAATCTTTAACAAAATTTCTTGAATACGGTAAGCAGCGGTGGCGACTGGCAACGTTTCCATGGACTTCAGCTATATTGTCCGTCGTGGAGAGTAGCGGTGTCGCCTGACAACATGAGCCCAGCCTGGAAGTGTAATCCTTTTACGTGGTTCCAGCAAAACTTGACTCGTGGGATGGTGTCGCGATGCCGCGAAGAAGACACTGCTTAGTTACACTATATGTAGTTAGTTACAGTATACTTATAACACGCTAGCTAACCAGTTAAAATCTAGTTTACGATAAATTGATGGGAATAATTTTGTTTGAAGTTGTATTTGATATTTGTATAATATATTTCGAGTAGATTTATGTGTTTCCTTTTAAAAATAAAAAGTAACTATCATTTGTTTTATAGCAATATATATTTTAGCTTACACTGATAGAAAGAAACAGGAAGGCCAACTTTGCAACGATAAAGACCGGTCAGTAATTGAGGCACGAGTCGAAAAAAAATCATATGAGCTTCCGCGCGTAAAATATGTACTACATCAATATCGTAAAATTTCACTATCCATATATAGTGCAAAATTACACTATACATAAATAGAGCAAAATTACACTATACATAAATAGAGCAAAATTACACTATACATGTATAGAGCAAAATTACACTATAAATGTAAAGAGCAAAATTACACTATAAATGTATAGAGCAAAATTACACTATACATGTTTAGAGCAAACTTACACTATTGATTGTAATTACACACTTAAGATTGGAATCGGTTGTACACACCCTCACGCCAGTTGTGACGACGTTGCTGACCTCGCGGGCGCGACGGAAGACCTTCGGATCCATAAACTTGTCAGGAAAGGTCTCGGCGAAGGTCGGAATATCCAAGCCCTTGGTGTCAGGCCTAAGCAGATATACAAAATCGAATTAGATACAGTCCCATCGTGTGTCCTAAAAAGTCCTAAGTTATAAAAAGCAACTTTACAGCTACTTGTACCATCAGTTACAGTACAGGTAAAAACGCGAGCTGAAGTAATAACGTGCACGAATTATAAAAATACATATTCAATATGATCAAATCCAATTACCTGTGTAGAAGCGCGACAGACAGACAGTAGTTGAACATATAAGGATTGATGCGTAGCTGGCAATATGAACAAATTGAAATCAAATCTTGAACGTTCCGCATTCCTGCAGGAACGAAAAATAATGTTTAATTTTAATCTCGAACGTTTTAAAGTGCTGTTCCAGTGTTCTATTGAATTGGACGTTCTAAGCAGTGGTGGATTTGATCCGTTGGTCGCCCTAGGTCTATACAAGGTTGCCGCCCCCCCACTCGCTGTAAAGCAGGAAAAATTAAATCAAGTAACTATAGGAATAAAAAAGGAAAATGATAACCGCTCATCATGGCCTGATTTATTACAATTTTTAAGGAATGTCGTCTACGCGAAGGGGCGAGAGGCGAAAGGTGCGACTACTAAAAAAATCCCACCAAGTTTTGCTGCCACCTAAATTTCGCCGCCCTAAGCCTGGGCCTACTTGGCCTAAAGGGAAATCCGCCTCTCTTTCTAAGCGATGAGGAATCTCTTTCAAATTGCAGTATTGCGTAAGTTACTTTCGTGGACTAGTTTTGTTTTTAGCTTACCCATGAATATGTCGATGAGTCTCCCCGCCATCTTCCTGTGCTTCTCCACGAAGAGGGAGAACTGGTCGTTGTAAGGCAACTCCATGGGCAGCTGCAGATTGGGCAGAGGTATCTCGGATACCGGTATAGATTTTGAGTCGGCGCCGAACCGATTGGCCAGCGTGTTACTCAAAGGCTTGTACTTGTCCGGCTGTTACAAAAAGATCTCTTCTTTGGTTTTTTTCCTTCTCGAAAACGCCTAATTAGAATATTTTTCTTATGTGGCGAACTGGCGGTTCTTCTATTGTTAAGTGATAACCGTCGCCCATTTACAATTGTAACACTCATAGAGTTGCAGATGCGTTGCCAGCTTTTGATAAAGCGGGCCCCGGCTACCTCACTCACCAGATTATACGCAGAAGTATAAAACTTCCTAGTCTGTAGCGTGGTCCAAAACCAATGGTTTTGCAATAATCTTAAGCGATTAAGTTAATTAAAGTAAGCCAGTAGGTAGAAATCTACGGGAAAAACATTCACACTTGTCATGCAAAACTTGTTCCCATGCAATGAAAATAATATCTGACCAATTGTTCACTAATATACTAACTATTGCTATTGTCATAAGTAGCCATTTATTCGTTAAGAAAACATTTTTATAATAATTGTAAAAAAGTATTACGTGACATTTTCAGAATTCATTATCTGTACGGAGAACAGTTATTACTGTTTGCAAAATATAACTTCAATATAATCAGTACTAGGTTTCATCACCTAAATACGAATAAAGAGTAAGAGAATAGCAAAAAAATTGTGGCAAAATCTATAAAAATTTCTTTTCGGGCAGAATTTCCGCAATGAGTGGTGACTAAAGTAATAAGCGGCTTCCTTTCTTATATTTTAATGATGATAATCTTGTGATGTTATTAACAATTAAAATATATTCAGTTTTACTTCATTTAAGCAATTTTGCGATAAGTTGACCAATATGATACAACTGTCATTTATTGACAAGTAACCTCTGAAGAAGTTACATCAACTTTAGAAACTGTAACTACAATGGAATCGAAGTGCACATAATGTTACGTGAAAAATGTTATTTCGGATATTCCGTAAAATGATAAAATTTAGGTATAGAAGACAAGAAAGACGTTTGATCACAGTTGATCAAACGTCTTCTTGATCCATCTTGTTTACTTACGTAAAAGTTGTCAGGTATCTGAAAAGTTGATTTTTCCTCCCCTTTTTGCATGAAGCATGGCTCAGTAGGACGATCGAAGAAGAGTAACAGGTTTTTTTTGTCGTCGGCCATTTTTAACTGTAAAATGAAAGCCTTTCGTACAATATTTTTTTCGGACACCATTTTTTTTTTCTTTATTTATTTAAACGGTCGTGGCGGACTATGTTGTAGTTTGCGATTCTGGGATCTTGAACACTAGTTTTTAAAAAGGTCTCTTGCACTAGAAAAATATCTGCATTATAATCGCAAAGGAAATCTGCGATTTCATCCCTTTGACCCTTAATGCCGTTTGCGTTGAAATACGAAACAACCAGAGCCCGAGGTTTTGTTCTACCTCCGGTTGTACTTCCCATTAAAGTTTCTTATGAGTTCTAACTAACGACGCAGCGGAGCGCGGTTTTATTGCACGGACTATTTAAGTTTATGGTTGGCTTGTAAATGCCCAGAGGGCTTCTACAAGCATTTTATGTTCGCTAATGGCTTTAAATCGCTCGGTGCCAGATGTGGCGGCTGCTATTTTAGCGGACAATACGCTAAAAAAAACGTTAAAAAATCCATAATTAAAAAAATATATAATTATAAAAATAAAGTAAAAAAGAAAGAAAATTTGTAACATACTATACAACTACAACTGACTGATTCATACATTCAGAGACTTTTTCATTCGTTGCCACAGCGTCGCATTACAAGCCTCTCCTACTAACAGTATGTTTTGTCTCTTTTAAATTCATTCAACCCATTCATATGCTTTGTGACCTTTACAAATAAACTTTACGTTGCAGTTTTATACGTAAGGGTGTTCTAAAATTGTTTGTTTTGGAAAATTTAATAACTCGGAAAATATTGATGTTTAAAGAATGTAAATGTTTAATACAATTTTGAAAAGTTATCCTGTTTATGTGTGTTCATTTATTGTCGCGGTTATAACGACACGCTGTATACACTTTTACATCAAGTCTCTTAAGCTGTCATACTTTAAACGTTTGAGCATCATGTATGTGATATGTTGCTCAAATGTTGCACTTTAAAAACAGAAATATTTTTTTCTTTTTGTTTTAAATGAAGGATTAAAAAAGGACTGTACATAGGTAAGCTTAACCCTAAACAGAGTTCTCTACCAGCAAACCTTTAATAATTAATAACATAACAAGTGAATACATAATCATAAGAAAATAGGTAGGTGTGAACAATGAAAATTAAGCTGTCTCCAGCAACGCGAGGAATCGTCTCCCAGCATGCCCTTATCTCAGGTAGGTGTGGTCGGCTTAATGTGAATCAGGAATTGTTAGTTGTATTGACTACGATTTTCACGACTGAGAACCTAGGCGACGTCCTCCTTGGGAAAATTGACGAACAAAAAGGAAAATTTATATCAATAAAATAATTAAAATTGAAGTTTGTTCAAACTTCCTTTTGGACGCGACGAGGAAACTAGTGTAATTCAAAATTACTTTAAACAACCATTATTTAAAGGTAAGCTCATATTATTATATTTGGTTAGAAGTAAAAAAATTGTCAGTTATTTTATTGCTTTATGGTTATTATTTAGTGTTTTCCATAAAAAGTTTCTCATGTTCCAATATTGTCGATACCCTCAAATATGTAAATGTAGTACGTACATATGTAAATACTTTGTAATTTTAAATTAATATCGATATTATTTTTATTGAAGTGAAAACTATCCAGGGCACTGAACTAACCGTCTTTAATATGTTATCATACCAATACCAATTTTATTATTTGAATGGAATTTAGTTTATTTTTTATCTAAGTACTTTTTTGTGAAAACAAAACATCAAATACAATTGATAACGGTCTAATTAGATAACTACAAGTTATCTATCGTATCGTATATAAGTTATCTAATATAGGTGTCAAATGTAAAAGAAAACTAGTATTGTTTGCCCTGGTAACACCACGATGGTTGATATTGATATCGATTTAGGTCTTGCACACACTTTTATGCACACCTCATATTTTTTTACAAACGCGCCAAAATACGCATAACTACAAAAGATAATCCAAAAAATGAAAAACTGTAAGAAACTTTAACTTACCTTTTGTAGTTTGCTTGATGATAAAAACAAAAAAATAGTATTTCGTCGAGGACAGTCAGTCGTAACGTCCGCGTTTCGACTATATTTTGTTACGAAAAGGGTCACATTATATATACCCCGGAGAAATCCGTCATTGTATTCGGGAACGAATAGAATTCAATAAAATACGGGAACGTATTTAATTATTATAACCCCTAACGCGTGAGAATAAAGCCTATAATAGAAACAATATGTCAACGAAACTCAAAATTAGTGGCCGGAAACTGTGGTGAAAATTATCAGGCATAATTATTGTGAGAAACAAAAACTTGTTTTAAATATCTATGGAAAATTTTCTGATACTGTGACAACCCCTGTTTTCAACGCAGGAATATTTTTACAGAATGTGCCATATATTGGATCCAGTGCCGGATAAGCCATGTAGCAGGAGGCAGCAAATGCCTCGGATCATATGCGGAAGTGTAGTTTGCTGTTAGGCTGACAGCTTCGACAATTTCGGAAGAGGTCAGTGGGTAAACGACCCGCAGACTCAGGAGAAACAATGTAGCTGAAACACGACGACACGATGACGGCTTCCACTCTGCTGCATCTCTGCGGCCCCCGTTAACTTGTTACGGGATCATCTCTTGTAGCTGCAATTATTATCCCTACCATAATATTATAAATGTGAATGTGAGTTTGTTTGTTATGCTTTCCCGCCACAACTACTCAACCAATTATCATGAAACTTAGTACTAAACTTAAAAAGGACGTAAGACTCATTTTATTAAAAAAAAAATAATTTAAGGGCCTCGACGCGAGTGAAGCCGCGGGTAAAATCTGGTATTTAAAAAAATTAATATAGGTATTTAATCATGGCTGGTTTTAATTTTAAACTACCGACGTTTCGAATACAACGTTCATGGACACGGTCCGATCGGAATATTCGCGTAAATAACCTATCTTTAATATTAAAGGCAATTAATTGTTTTGGAATTCTACCTAATGCGAATTTAATATTTTCTTATATTGGTATTAGGTAGAATTCTGAATAGTAATATTTTTCTTTGCAAGCTTCGTAACAAATACTTTACTTAACAGAAGCTTGTCCCACAGACTGACATGAGTTTCCCGGTCACTGATAGAGCTGAAGCAATCTTTTTCAATAATAAAGCGAATTAATACGTGTAAAGAAGATTATTCTAAGAAAATAACCTCAGTTCAATGAACATATAATAATATGATGCATTCGGTCTGAAAAAATTACAAAAAGCTTAAGAACTTGCCATTTGCTGCGGACTTTATCCGACACTACTTTGATCCGGGCTTAATCAAGGCAAGGGTGGGAAGATAAGAAGTTGTAAGCTCAGTGGCCAGAGCCGCGGGCCCGTATCTCAGGATGCAGGTTGAAATCCTGACAGCGCCAGAGGTGAAAATCTTTCCTTTTTCTAAAAAAAACATCTTATGTGCACTATAAAAATTAATATCCTGTAAAAAAAATTAATGGCAAAGGCATCTCTAGTTATCAAATAATTCATTGTAAAATGTTATATAAAATGTATTCGTTTACTGAAAGGTAACATAATATAGATGTCGCCAAACAATGTAATAAAAAACAAAGTAGATAAAATACGTTGAGATTTTCGTCGATGTGAACCTATGCCCTTTAGCTCAGTGGCTAGAGCCTCGGGCGCGTATCCCAAAGGAAGGAGGTTTATCTTCGCAGCGAGAAAATACTTTTCGTCCATTTTTTCACAAATCTTTAATCGAGGCACTTTATTGTGATAACATTTTATTTAGTTTAATAAGCAGAATGCAGTACTTATTGCAGATAAAACTTTAACTCCTATCAAAAAGATCCCGAAATATCTCAGCGATATCATAACTTGTAGCATAATTTATTTTTATCTTGAGAAGCATTACAATAGTGTCAAATGAAATAAAGGAGCAATCGTTTATAGTCGCGTTGAAGCCCTACGTGTCACAGATAAAAGATATTACGTTGCAACAATGAAGGTAAAGGTAACAAAGATTTTATTTTATGAATATTTTGTTTTCCAAGTTCTGAAATATTGCTCATGTGATCTACCTAAATATTTATTCACCGTAAACAAACGAATCTTAGCTAAACCGTCCTTAAATTATAAGCCCTCATCTCATCTGTGGCACAGACACGTATCTTCTATTGTTGCAATCGCTTGCCCGCTCGATCAGAGAAGTGGCTCACAGACCGGCGTAAAATAGAAATATGGATTTACGTTTCGTCTATTTTATCACTCACCCTCTTAACAAGCAACGTCACTGAAACCACCATGTGGATAATCATGGATGCGGCGGTAATCACAGGTCGTGAAAAACCTTCCGTTTGCTATGATCACTCAAAAAAGATAGATACACACAAAACGAACGACATACAAGTTACTTTATTATAGGTTCGAAGCGATGATGTTTTCGTTGGCATTGAAACTAATTACAACTGCAATTAGGTTAGGTTGATTTGCACGATATTCATCGATGTGTTATTTTTTAATTTCAGCACTACTGTTAGATACCCCTCCAAGATTTTTTGGTATTAGGGGAGGAATCTTGACTACCATGTCTCCTGCGGAGAAAGTAAGTGTTATGTAAGACTATTATTTTCCTGTTTGAAGTATTACCAGGACTTTAACTTTTAATGACTATTTTCAAACTATCGAGTCACCAACTGAGAGGATTAAGTCTACTAACTAGACCATACGGGTCAACTGATTCGCGTGACTAATTTGTATTAACTGTTCGGAATGGGATTATATTTTTATTACTGCATTGTTCCATTTGCTATGTTCAATATAATACACGTACAATTCCAATCCGTTAATCAATTCTGTCCAACAAATTATAATTCTATTGCATTCTAGATTTTCCTTCAGTTATATTTCTATCGTTCGAAGTTTGCAACTTATGCCTTGTTTGTTTATTAAATAGGTAACCCATGCACTCTTCCTTGATTGTGCCGAGGTTATCTACATAAATAATCAATATTACTGCAACCAATCGCTAATAGATAACTCGCGTAAATATTTAGAGGAATGCAAAATAAACTTATGGGCTCTATATATAATTTTTTTATATATGTTACCTAAAACGGAACAATAAATATTAATGTAAAACATCGCACTTTGTAGTTTGATTTCCATACTTTTTTTTTTCTTCCCGTTCTGTGACATTTACATTATTGCTAATGCCGATATTTCTGGTTATTCCTTTTTACTTTTACCACTTCTTTTTAATTTCATCACTCATCATCAGACATAAGCAAAGCACAATACAGCCTAATTTTGAAATTTCAACTGTATTCTAAACCTATTCTGGTGACGCTTGTGACCGGATTGTGCTACAAACTACATCGGTACTTTATTGTAAATAGTGGGTCAGAATAAGCACAAATTAAGCAATTTCTTTAAGGAAGAACTTCTTTTAAGAATTTATGTTATTCCTCGGTAAAACTTAAATTATGTTTAAAAGCTTTTTATACTTTTTAGCGTCCAAAATTGGTGCGTACAAATTGCAAAATATTTAAAAAATTTACATTTCAAAGATATCATAAGATTATACTCAATATGTTATATCAAATAACTTTTTGTATTATTATTACTGTATTTAGAGCGGCAGTGCCGTGACTTGTAGAGGTAGAAATTAACAGTATGATCATTAACAATTGTTACACACATTACAAACAAAATTTCAACATCATTCAAGGCAATAATTAACACTATGGCACTATCTGTGTTATGATGCAAATTGCGATGTTAAGCGCGAATTCGCAAATATGGTTTTAGAAATGACGCAAATCTTGTTTCTAGTCTTTTCTATTGCGCCTCTAATCATGTCCGTTTAATAAACTTATCTGCAAGGCACACTAAGAAAAACATACTAGGCTAAATTTCAAAAAATCTGAAGGAATGTAAATTTAACTGTAGAATGTGTAGTTAACCACTATACATACGAAATGGTAGATAGCATAGAAATCGCTACATCTATTGTTACTTCACTTTCTATTATATTAGGGACCTCCACTACGTAACACTGATTTTTTTTGGGTAAAGAAAGCGCAATGAAACGAAAATATAAACAGCATTCAATTTAGAAACTTTATTGAAAGTAATGTCTTTACAATAAGCGAGAACTTTTGGGCGGTGTCAATTTTGAAGCCCACCCTGATGCAGTCGTAAATAAAACATCAAATTGGGTTTGTAAGAAAGTTTAATTTATTATAGAAGTATTGAAAATATCTCCAGTGATTGTTTAACAAAGAAAATAAACAATAAATTTAGATAAGTACTAACATATGACTTTACACTATGCTAGGTATAAGTCTAGGAATAATTAACTAAAATTTTCTTTAATATAAATACACTAGAAGTGAATGTTTTACCCAAGTCAATATTGAACCTTAAAATATAGCTAACATAGAACAAACATACATTGAGTGCGCCGGGTACTAAGTGGTACAGAAACAATGCAAGGTGAATGTCCAGCATCTTAACAAAGTGGGGGGTTGAAGAGGCTTGTGACCATTTATTCTACCCATTCACTCGCGCAACCACGCCCTTCGCATACATTTACAACCAAACGCCCCTTGCACAGTCAACACACCCCATCTTTATTGAGAGAGATTGGAGACGAACAGACTAGGTAAATGCTACCTACAGATAGGAATGTAAAAGTTCCGCTTCCTATCCTAAACAAGTGCATGGGATGAGTTGGCAGAATGTGCAAGAGGCAAACCATCGAACCCGGTTATACTATGTCCGTTGCTAACAACATAAAATTTAGAGCAAATGTGCAGAACTGGAGCCTAGCCGCTCTTGAACAGGAGTATGGCAACCTGGCCAAGGTAGAAGTAGATGAAGTGACGAGTCTCATGTGTAACATAAGAGCCAAAGTTGCGGCCGACTATACAATGCCATGTTGGGTTGTACTTCTTGTCAAATTCCTTCTTGATGAATGCAGCAATATCCTGAAAATGATCACCTTTTTATCAAACAAAAGCTTCCACAACAGTTGATATAGCCCAATGGTAACCACAACTTGTCAATTAACAAGTATGTGATATTTACACACCACATGTTAAGATAACAAATCCACTATCAGTTCTTTCACACTGTCTATTTCACACAATTTCCGAGTAACAAAATGTTGCAATAATATCAATGTAATTATCTAATTAGCTTGCATCCGGTGCAAAAGTCAATCCTTTCACACCTTGGGTTTAACTTAGTTTTCAATATAATTATGTATCAAAAGAACAATATGAAATCAAAACATCAAAAGAACTAAGAAAATTATTAAATATTTTTTTCTCTTTACCATAAGTATTTAGCTAATTTTATGACATATGATATTATTTGTAACAGCATGTTTGGATCCCCTTATAATGAAAATTTTATTTGAGAAAATTCAGAATAAACAGAGTATGTACATTTTTCAAATATCAGCAATGTATCAGAAGAACTCCATTATCAAGTACTCTTGTACTAAACTACAATTGCACATTGTCTACTATGAAGCACCAACCTTTTCAATGTTGAATTTTTCAAGTGCTTGTGTGGCACAGTCAACCGCATCTTGCTGCATCTCCTCACTCATGTCAGCATTCTTGATCACCGCCTTGCGGTCGCACATCTTGGTAGATTTATTGCTGGAACAAAATTTTTCTTGGTCAGAAAAGTCTCCAATACTTTTGCTATGCAACAAAATATAAAAAGTTTCCAATGAACACAACAAAACACAATGGTAATTGGTAAGGTCCTAAAACCACTTAGTAAGTATGTAGAGCTCGTAAGGATTAAAGGTTTCGAGTTGGAACTAACGTGAAAAGGGCGGAAAATTTTTTAGATCGATAGAAAGATACAGAAATTGGACGGAAACAAGGGCGGACACTTAGGTTTGATGACAACGAGAACTTTCCCACTGCAACGTTCACGAAGCTTCTACCGATCACTAAGAGTATCGAATACATGATAGATTTTCGCCACATGCGTATAGCACCGACATTGATTGTTTACGTTCAATAACAGCACTGCTATAAATAGAATGCAGTAAAGGTCAGGCGCGAAAATCGGGACTCCAGCGCGCCCTTTTATGAAAATATTTCAGAACTATGGCGATAGTACATTCCAAAATTTCCTCTTTGTAGATCAACATTACCTGGAGGAAATTAAGGACCTTTGAGATTTTTTTGTCGCTATTCTAATTGTTGCTCTGGCGGTAATCCCAGTCCCAATCCCAGTCATCAAGAAAATAGTTAAAACAATTTTTATACAACCCACGAGTAAATATTTGAATTATTCAAGTTTTTTTTAGAAAATGTCGCACTTATCCCACATTGCAGTTTATCGCCATAGAAACTTAGGTATTAAATCAATAAAAACATTTTGTAGCCAGATGAATATATGAACCAACCTTCGCACTATTAAAACATTTACAAAAACGTTAAAAAGATGAAAATAAACATATATAAATAGTTTGAATGAAGAAAGAAGTGAATAAAGAATATTTAATCAGAAATACTCACATTTACTTTGAACTAAAGAACAAATTCTCACGTAATGATTTAGATACCGGAGACCGTATGCCTACTTTCCAGAGGATTCTTTCACAGGCTTCTTTCAGTGCAGATTTTGCGTAATTGCGGCAGAGGGCGTTCGAAATTCAAAACTATTCGAAAGACAAAACAGGTTCATAGCAACAATTGTGTTGTGGCCAAGAACTTCGTTGGACTCAATTTTATATGAAGTACATATATATTTTTTAGTACAAATACATTAAATTTAGCTCTATTTACATGACTTTTTTTATTATCCCCCCTTTTTTTTCGTTTTTGTTTCTTTGTGTTTATTAAATTGCATGCAATACTTTATTTTAACTATTGGAAATTCATGAAATTTATTTTGAATTTGTAAATGTTTCAGTTGTAACTTTATTTTAATGTTCAATTTATTTTATCTTAATTGACTTTGTACCACTATACTTATAATATTTTGTCGAGTACCACTATCCGATCGTTGCCGCCATCTTAAGTTAAATTTGTAACAAACGCTGGCAGTGCACTCAGCCAAAGCTTTATATAGAAAATTTATATTTTCGCCATTACTTAATATAAATAAGCTTAATGAAATAGTTGATATCATTAGTCCAATATTTAAAGCATAACTTACAATGTCAGGTGGTAGCGGTAGTAATCGAAACGAATGCAGAATATACGTAGGAAATCTGCCGCCAGACATCAGAACAAAGGACATCCAAGACCTATTTTATAAATTTGGTAAAGTTACGTTTGTTGACTTGAAAAATAGAAAAGGACCTCCGTTTGCTTTCGTCGAATTCGAGGATCCTAGGTAAGATTATTCCTTGAATTTGAGATCTCACCACTCATCCTGAATGTATCACATTCGTGTTGACAGTTCACTAAAGCTACAATTTTCATTTGTTTTGTAATATTTAAAAGCGTTAAGTATTTCCTTCTATCTGGAATTAATCTACTGGAGATGTTGGTTCACTAAAATCTAAGTTTTAAGATAAGTTTTTCATGCATTAATATTGCAAAGAATTTGAAAATTTTAACATTTTTTTTTGTATGCTGAAAGTATGTAATCATCATATAATTTTGTTTGTTTCTCTGAGATTTGTAATGGTTCAGTCTGTAAAAAAATCTTTTATTTCTGACAATCCTAGAGAACACTAGCCAATCTGCTGTTTGAATGCATACTGTAAACCCCATGAAAAAAACAAGTTCCATTATCTCTGTGTTACTTAATTTGGCATTGATAAATGTATGTATCAATTTACATGCTACATACCAGATAAGACATTATTTATAGTTAGTAGTATATCACTTGTTTTGTAACTGTTCTGCTTATCATAAAAAAAATATTTTCCTGTAATTTCTCTAACAAGTACCTATTAATTTAAATGATTTTTCTATACACCAGTGTATTGTATACAGCGTGTCGTTACCATCGTGACAATAAATGAACACACATATAGGGGATAACTTTTTAATGTTGTATTAAACATTTAAATTCTTTAAACATCAATATTTACAGAGTTATAAAATTTTCCAAAACAAAGAATTTTAGAACACCCTTACCTATAAAAGCGTAACGTAAAGTTCGTTTGTAAAGGTCACAAAGTATATGAATGGGTTGAATGAATTTAAAAGATACAAAACATACTGTTAGAAGGAGAGGCTTGTGATACGACGCTGTGCGCGAGTTGTATAGGATGTAACAAATTTTGTTTCTTTTTTACTTAATTAGTTTGTTTGAAAAATATTTTTTTTTTTTAATTATGGATTTTGTTTAACGTTAATATTTTTTTATGATTATTGGAAAGCAGCGATAGATGTGTGTTCATTTATTGTCGCGATGGTAATGACACGCTGTATAATATTTCATGGTTATGTATTTGCAATAACTGGCCATTAAATTACTTTAAAAAGTTTAACTTATTCTTCAAAATTAAGCTATGTATTTTTTCTAACTTTGTTGGTTACTTAATTTAAATAATTAAAACAAAAGGTAAGCTTTGTAAAACAAATTCATCTTAGCTTGGTATATCTTTTCTTGTAACTTTTTACTTTACCAAAATAGTGAAACACAATTACATTTATCACTGTAACATTTATTGTTAGTACTTATAGGAATAAATTTGCATGTAAATTGTTCCCACACTTAAATTCCATCAATTTATGAACCATAGAGATGCAGATGATGCGGTGCGTGCAAGAGATGGCTATGACTACGACGGCTACCGTCTTCGCGTCGAGTTCCCCCGAGGTGGTGGGGGCGGTGGGGCCAGGGGTGGGCGTGGTGGCGGCGACCGTTTCGGTGCCAGGCCAGCTGCTAGGGGGCCTCCAGCTAGGCGTTCAGAGTACAGGGTGCTGGTTACTGGCTTACCACCCTCAGGGTCGTGGCAAGTAAGTTATAAACAGAAGCCAATTGTTCAAAAAAAGCTGGAGGTGCATTTCTTCACCATCATCATTCCAGGTTGTAGAAGCTATTGCTGTCTCAAGGTTTTATTTAGTTCTCAAATTTATACTTTAGCAACAGGACCACCTCTTGCATGAAACATATATCTTAGTGAATGGTAGATAGCAGACCTAATGAGAGAGAGGATACTCTCCCTTTGTACAGGGCTAATGAAAAAAGAAAAATAGCTATTTTGTGGTAGTAACGTCTGTAGACTATAAAATGTAAAAGTCCTATTCCTTAACACCACATTAAGTCTTCAAGTCATTTATTGTTTTATCTTGCCCAGGATCTTAAGGACCACATGCGCGAGGCGGGCGACGTGTGTTTTGCGGACACGTTCAAAGACGGTACTGGCGTTGTGGAGTTCCTTCGTCATGAAGACATGAAGTATGCAGTGAAGAAACTTGACGACTCCAGGTTCAGAAGTCACGAGGTGAGTGTTCTGTTCGGTTCAGCTAGAAGAACAAAGCGCAGTAAATAACAGAAATGAACTTTTAAATTGAGAAATAATATTAAATTTCATCAATAAACTTTTAACTCCATTTGGAAACTGTGTAATCTAACCATTTCAACCCATCGTTCTGTGGAAATATGTATTTGTGTTGAGAATTTATTTAATATGATGTATTGTTACAGGGTGAAGTATCATACATCAGAGTAAAGGAAGACTACGGAGGTGGCAGCGGTGATAGATATAGTGGTGATCGTGACAGGTAATGTCATAGAGATTAATGTACTTAGTAAATTGTTGCCTGCAGTATCTATTCATCTATCATTATTCTATCAGTCTTGTATAGATCTATTTTCTTGGACCATAGTGTTAGACTATTTTACTTCAGCTGTTCATGTTTCATTCAATCAAGAGTAGTTTGAGTTTTATTTAATCAAAAGTTGATTGAGTTGTCCTATGCAATATCTGCAATCATTTTGATGGCCTCAGACCATCATTTTATTTGTCATCCTCTTTGTCTCATTGTTTGTAACCTAGGGGTCCAATAGATATTACACTTTTGTCCAATTATTTCTATTCTCTGTTATCATATGGCAAATTCAATATTGTACATTAATGTACATATACATTATCTTATTAATTTTGATTATAGATAAATATTCATTTATTTTATTCATTCAGTTAACCCACACCTTTACCTCTAAATGAATTTCTTCTCAGTCCATCCAAAGGTTGCACAGAAAAAATTGCTTTCAGTGATAAGGCCGACCATTATAACCATCACGTCTACGTCAAATTTTTGATTTTTGGTGTGCCATTAAGTGTGTTCATTCTTTCATTGATAACATAAATAGTGTTCAGTGTTAAAGTACGAAGTGTGTCGACAATACAGAGGTGCGTCGCACAGGTCCCGTTCCTACTCGCCGCGGCGTCGCGGCTCGCCGACCTACTCGCCCGTGCGACGCAGCTACAGTCGCAGCCGCAGCCGCGATCACAACTACTAAGGTCAGTATCCGCTCTGCAGTACCCGATTCACAACACACACACACACACACACACACACACACACACACACACACACACACACACACACACACACACACATATATACAGCGTGTCGTTACCATCGGGACAATAAATGAACACACGTCTAACGCTACTTGCCAATAATCATAAAAAAATATTAACGTTAATCAAAATCCATAATAAAAAAAAATATTTTTCAAACAAACTAATTAAGTAAAAAAGAAACAAAATTAATAACATCCGATACAACTCGCGCCACAGCGTCGCTTTATAAGCCTCTCCTTCTAACAGTATGTTTTGTCTCTTTTAAATTCATTCAAACCATTCATATGCTATGTGACCTTTACAAATGAACTTTACACACGCATAGAGATTGAAAAAAGAATGTAATGGGATAATACATTTATCCCCTATATGTGTGTTCATTTATTGTCGCGATTGTAAAGACACGCTGTATATTGCGCTCTCACACGCATAGAGATTGAAAAGCATGGGATAATCACACATATACCGCTCTCTAGAGATGGAAACATATAGTGCTGTCCGACAAACATATACAGAAACATTGACCGGGTGGCGAATACAGGTGAGTGTGGATATAAATATAACCACACACTAGGATAAAGAGAATCATGCCTGCATGGAGAGGAGAAAGAGAGAGCCATTATATTATACAGCGTGTCGTTACCATCGCAACAACAAATGAACACACGTCTAACGCAACTTACCAATAATCGATAAAAAATATTAACGTTTAACAAAATCCATAATTAAAAAAAAAATATTTTTCAAACAAACTAATTAAGTAAAAAAGAAAAAAAAATTTGTAACATATTTTCAGAAACATATATTTTGTCTCTTTTAAATTCATTCAACCCATTCATATGCTTTGTGACCTTTACAAATGAACTTTACCTTTACAGTTTTATACGTAAGGGTGTTCTAAAATTCTTTGTTTTAGAAAATTTAATAACTCGGTAAATATTGATGTTTAAAGAATGTAAATGTTTAATACAATTTTTAAAAGTTATCCTCTATGTGTGTTCATTTATTGTCGCGATGGTAACGACAAGCTGTATATGCATACACATTTTTATGCATTCTCTTCTACTCTTCTGCCCTTGAGAGTAAACATAAATCTTATGAACTTACATATATTGTCGCATATTCACTCACACAAAATAGGACTACCTCATGTATTTTCTCGCGACAGCAGACACACATCATACGTATTTAGTCTATGATGCGTTGGCAGAATTACACTTTTAGCTAATCAAAAACATCTTTAAAGCATTTTAGGCAAAGTGTTAGACTTTCTTCTGATTTTGATAGACCTCTTAGACATAAATATTGTTAAAAAAATAACCAATATTTTTTTCAGCTCGAGGTAAAAGATACAGGAATACATTTCACAGCCTTACCATAAATCATCATTCCTATATGACTACAACAAACGAATAGTAATTTTTTTTCTGAAAGCTGGTTTTAAACATAATGAATAATCTAATTCTATTATCCAAATTAAATAACACTGGTTTGAATTGAAGGTGACAGTATAATATTTTAAACTTTTTTTGTAACCTTGCGCCATGTTCTCTTCCTTGTTTATGGTCATTGATTATTTATTTGTATTATTTGAAGTTTTTTTTTTTTTTTGTATTCTAATTTACATTTGTGCAATTTTTTATCAACTAAATGCACTTCCAGCTATTTGTACCAATGGTCTCTCTCGTCACAATAAAATTAAGATTTATATTTGTTGTTATGTGATACTTATACCTTCAACTATTTGAAACAACTTCAAACCATACCATATGATTCCTTTATCAGTTTTTTTTTTTCAATAAGAAAATCGATAACATTCAACGCTATATGTATACTTTATTTATCTACTTATTCGACTTTATCTTATGTCAATAATAATTGCATTATGGAACTTAAGAAATTGTATCACAACACCCTCCAATGGACCCTTATGTCCTAACAAATAACTGTTATGTTTTATATTTAATAAGGAAAAAGAATGATATATATCCATTGTAGAATAGTGTGAAGAAGTTTCATTATAGATTGATCTTCAAACAAATCTGTAAAGCAGAACTCAATACTAAATATGCGTGGAAGCCACTGCTCATTAAACAGCAATCTTATTGTAAAGGACTTATACCACAACCAGACTTTTTACCATCTATTAATTAGTTGTATGTGGTGCCACATCATAATTAGTAGGGTATTGTATTAGCCGAATATTTTAAAGGTGGCCATTTTACCTGTGTATCCACGGGATGATACCAGCGATCAATGTTAAGTGGAAATGGTTTCACTGGCCCATTGCGAAGATCAGTTACGATTGTCCCCCAAAGTCAGCTAACGGGGATCCACTTTGGCCACTTGCAGTGGTGAGAGATCCACGACAGGAATATTTGGTATCACCGATGTGGCCAGTGTGAATGAAGGATGATGTATTATTGACAGCGCTAGCGAGGGGCGGCCGGCGACTGCGGTGTCCGCGGGCAAGTCGAAAGCGGGGACTGCGCCCCGAATTGCGCTCTGCCATTTCTATAACAATAAGACCACACCCGCTGTAATATATGTTATTCACCGGTCGTTTTGCAGGCGACGTACACTTGCGCTAACTTTGATGTCAACGCTCGGCCTCTCGTCAATAAGCCCTCCGGCCATGGTAAAATGATAAAATGAACTGGACGAAGCAGACTCCGTTGCACAAATGGAAGCGGTTCCGTTCTCCGTAACCAAGTTAAATGAAGATGTCAAGTTATACATTAGCCAAATCCATTTAATCGAATTAAGTTACATTTAACATGGCTGGCGATGTGTGGATTGTTGATGGGAGTGTCGTATATTTATATTCACGTGTTTCGCTTATGCGTACCCTTATTTTTTTTCTTTCCGATGTGTCACTCGACCAATAACCGTCGAGGAGTGAGTCGCTTACAGAACGATTGGCATCACACTTACGTAGATTACTATCACTGACCCTATGCGTTTCATCATATAATTAAAAGTATTTTCTTTTGTTTCATCCACTGTGGATTGGGCTCGTTGGATGTGCTTGGCTGGAGGTGTGAGTCAGGATGCCATAGGATAGGATGTGCTCGGAACGGATGATGGGATCAAACGGGATCTTCGGGTGTAGGACGCGCGCACTCATCGCACAGGATTCTCGGATTGTCGGATCTTAACCAACGGATACGGATCTCGGATATTCGGATCGTACCAAAGGATCTCGCACGGAGGCGGTCTCAAGTTCTGGAACTCGCGGATTTGACTGTTTGACACGTTTGTATGTGGAAAAAAAAGTAAAAAAAATATATATCACACAATTAACTTTTTTGGGATTGTGCACGGATCATGTCGACGCGCTCGACGCCGGACCACCGAACACGGATCTTTGGGTATGATTTTACAAATTTTTGCCAAATAACTTATGTTGAGTGCACGCTCGATACCGAGTAATTATTGATTAATTGATGTTTGTTTTTTTTTTGGATATCCTTAACTCACACTTTTTTTGCTTCTCGATGTCTGCGTTTTTTATTTTTACCTAGAACGTGTAGGTTGCGCCACGGCCATTTGGAGGAGTATCTATTTAGCTTTGCTCATTTAGTGTTAGCCCTAACAATTAATGGTTCGATGTCATAAACATAATTAGCATGCTTATTGAGCTTTCATACAAACTGTCTACGCCGTGAGGTGGCTGGGGTGAGAATGGGTGAAGTGTGTATGAGACAGTGTGCAGGTTCATCCGTTGCGAGGATAAAGAGACGCTAGAGTAAAAAATTGTTAAATGCAAAAAAAAAATTAAATCACAAATTGTAGCATATTGGAATTGTAATAAATGCGACTGCGATCGTGTGGATTAATTGACGATATCATAGTTTATAATGTGTGAAATGTAATTTAGGTACTGGATCTGCATTCCAAAGACCAACACAGTTTGATGGACGCAATAAATAAAATACCGTTTAAAAGCAACGCATTATTATTTATTATCCCCTAACATCTCTTAACAATAAAATAAATACATCTACTCTAGCAATTTATATTTTAAATCCTGAATGAATGGAGACAACGCCGAATGTCAAGTTTTCGTATGTGACCTGTCTAAAGCCAGCCTCTTCAATCATACCCTTAAATTTTTCCTGTAAAAAAACAATGGCTCATTTGATCTTCTATTTAATTTCCTAATATCTATAATACGTATAATACGTACATATAATTGATATAAAAAATAATTACCTGGTCCGGAAACTGTCTTATACTTTCGACTAAATACTGGTAAGGCTTCCATTGGCCAGCTATTAATTGTCCTAATACAGGTATAACTTGAAATGAGTACTGGTCATACAACCTAGAACAACGAAATTCAACTATGGTTGGAATAAAGTTTATTGATATAATATTTACAAGATTAAATCTATCTAAAATTACATATTATCTAATAAACCTAATCCACGCGGCATGGTGCCAAGAACGCTAGCTGCATTTCCTCGCTGAATAGTTATGCTCAACCTTTGCGCGAGAAAAGAACCAGCTCTCTTGTCACCAGCCGCGGCGTTAAGCATAGGACATAAACTTTAAATGTGCGTGGGCCCCACGGACCTAAAGTTACAAAAATATAGGGAATGTATAATTGAAAGAAATATACATAGTTAAAACATGTAGAAAAAGTACGAAAAGATTGTCGCCGCTGTGGGAATTGAACCCACGTCTTCGGCATTCGCGGCCTGACGCTCTAGCCACTGAGCTAAACGGCTGATAGCCACAGCGACGAAAATCTTAACGCCTTCCTTTTCTACATTGTTATTTAGCATTTGAAGCAATGCTTGGCGCATCTATTGTTATATCCTTTCCAGCATACAAACAATTTCGAATATCATTTTACAACGATAATTAGAACGAGAGATGTCGCCATTGCTTTTTTTTTATAAATTTTTTAAAAGTTTCTTTTATAGTGCTAATCTCTGCACTTAAGATTGAACATTAAAACATGTAGAAAAAGTACGAAAAGATTGTCGCCGCTGTGGGAATCGAACCCACGTCTTCGGCATTCGCGGCCTGACGCACTAGCCACTGAGCTAAACGGCTGATAGCCACAGCGACGAAAATCTTAACGCCTTCCTTTTCTACATTGTTATTTAGCATTTATGGAATCAGATATGTTTAACTGGTAAAAGTGTCATCATCATCCTGTCCTTATCCCCCCTATGTTGTAAACGGGCTCACTTTTACAAATGGCCGCCTGCCTGACCTCAACCCTCCTTGGGAACAAACACTCGCAGCCGGTAAAATTATCTGTGGGTCATGGGTATCTGTGTGTGGTGGGAGTCGAACCTACGACCGCCGACGCCAAACCCAACAGCAACGGCGCCACCGAGTCATCTAGCTAAATTAAGTGGTAAAAGTGTAGCACACATAATTTTAACGGTTGTTTATCGTTTCTGAATAAATTCAAAAAGAAAATAAATTCAAGAAAGTAGATAGCTTAATTAGTAGCATCGGGGTGCAGTCCCCAGAAGACAGGTTCAATCTCCCAGCACTGAAAGTGTTTGTTCATTTCATCTTCATCATCATTTCAGCCTGTTGTTTATGTCCACTGAAAACATAGGACTCCCCCATAGACTTAACAAAATAGGATCCCGAGCCATCTGCAATCATGTAATAATTTGTCCTCCTATATACAAATTTCAATTAATTACAGATGTTTTCAATTTGTTACTATTTAAAAAAAATATATTTTAAGTTCAAATAAAATACTGCACCATTGCATTGTCGAATTTGGTATGTGGCTAAATTCCAAACACATGAAGCGACCACCAGGTGCCAGTACTCTATATGCTTCTTCGAGAACCTGAAAGTAATATAAAAATTTACCTAAACTATTTTGTGACAGATCTCACAATGAGCACTGATTCGAAAGAATTAATAAAAAAGAAATGTATAACTAATAGCCGCTTGTTTAGCCAGTGTTTGGAAGCTCGCTTTTAATTCCATACACTAGGACAACCCAAGTTTAAAGTTCTAGATATGGCATCAATTAAATTATTTGTTGAATACCATGTTCATTAGTGAAGGAACGAAACGTGAAAAACCTGCACATTTTCGAAAGATTAATCGTAAAAAATATTTCAAAGATATGTAATCTGCCAAAGCAGGTTGCGTCGCGTCAGTCAAATATACCCTAATACTCCCTGTCAGAGGAGATCTTTTCCCAGCCATGAAACATATGTAATGTATACATGCTGTTATTTCACTTTATATTACAAACGTCTTGGTAAATGAAGGAAAGACAATTATTTAGTTGATTTGAATAAGAAGAAATGTAGTATCTTGTTTTACATTTAAGTAATTTTCTCAGGAATGAATAATTACACTTATTTTAATTTTAATCAGCTGGGTTATTTTTGCATCCAATAAAAATTTGTCAAACGAGAGTTGCAAACTACTTTTTAAAGAGCAGTTGACTTTACCTTATCAACATGGGTACAATTCCTTATTCCGAATGCAATGGTATAAGCAGTGTAACTTTCATCTGGCAGAGAGAGCTTCTCTGCATCACCACATATCCATTCTATATTGACACCACAGGCTTCTTTTGTAAATCCTTGTCTGTAATATTTATGTTTGAAATCAAATCATAATAAATATAGATCTTAATATACAACTTGTCTTCTCTTACAACAGAGGATACATGACGATCCGAATGGCGTAGTGGGTAGTGTGACAGTAGCAAGGTGTTCAGTAACAACTGTGACAGGGTGTAACAGCTTTTATCTCTTTCTAATAAGGTATCGTAAGCATGACTAAGGAAAAGCTTGTGACCAGCGTGTTAAGGAACTATTCGTGTGGAACAGGAACTTGTTTAATTTTGTTAGTATCAGGTACAGTCTATTATCTCAAAATACCTGTTACGATAATTACGCCTCACTCCTAAAACGGACTTGGGATATCAAACAGAACACATAATAAATTTTACCTTTGCGCTCTAAGTTTTCCAACATCAAGCATGGACTGGTTAATATCACAAACCGTGACACTGCTTTGCTTGTTTTCAGGGGGGGGTCCCAAATTTTTTAAAAAGTTTATATACCTGAAGGAAATGTCACCTGAAATATAATAGATTGACAATACAAGAAAAACATTTTAACTAAATGAAATCCACAAAAATGATATTTATTACTTGTTTCTTTATCTTAAAGTCAGTCATCAAGTTTTAAGCATTACTAAAGAATTTAGTACAAAATTATGGTGGCTTCAATTACACGTTGCCTTAAAAATATAGATTTTTGTATAAATTTTCACTTTCTATTGTGTATCTTTACATATAAAGCGTGTCATTACAACCGCGACAATAAATGAACACACGTTTAACGCTACTTGTCAATAATCATAAAAAAATATAAACGTTAAAAAATCCATAATTAAAAAAAAATATTACTAATTAAGTAAAAATGAAACAAAATTTGTAACACCTATACAACTACAACTGACTGATCAAACATTCAGAGAATTTTTCATTCGTTGCCACAGCGTCGCATTACAAAACTCTCCTTCTGTATCTTCCTTCTTCTCTACAGTATTTTTTGTCTCTTTTAAATTCATTCAACCCATTCATATGCTTTGCGACCTTTACAAATGAACTTTACGTTAGTTTTACACGTAAGGGTGTTCTAAAATTGTTTGTTTTGGAAAATTTAATAACTCGGTAAATATTAATGTATAAAGGATGTAAATGTTTAATACAATTTTAAAAAGTTATCCTTTATATGTGTGTTCATTTATTGTCGCGGTTGTAATGACACGCTGTATAATTCTTCTGTATGGGTGTATGAGCGATTTCAATGAAATTTTTTGTGTTTTCAAGTCGAATAGAGTATGGTTTAGATTCACAATTCGTTTTTCTTTATATGTAAGTTGACAGATTTTATACTGTGTGTACTGAACAATGTCTGTCTGATCCACTACCATATTTTTTTTTAATTTTTAAAAAAAAATGCCCTCACTTTTGGATAACATTATCCTGTGTTGCAAAGACGTTTTACATACATAAATTTCACGTGGACAAACACCCAGATGCGAAACTGTCCCTGACGCCGAAATCAATACCTTGACGACTGCGCCACGGAGTCATCAAAATTATAAATGAAAGATGAAACATTATTTTTATTCAATCAATAACAACCTACTAAACATTCTGTTGGTATTTCTATTTACCTACCAGTTCCTCCTGCAACATCTAGTAGCTTAGTTCCATGTGTTGGTGCAAGTCTTTGCATAAAAATGTCCTTCCAGATCCTGTGTATTCCCAGGGACATTGCATCATTCATAACATCATATTTCTCAGCTACTGTCTCAAAAACCTCATGCACTGAAACAAAATAAAACAGTATATTTATATATATAATTCTACTGTATGTGTGTATGTCACTGAACTCCAAAAAGGCTGGACCGATTATAATGAAATTTTTTGTGTGTCAGGATGTCTGTTCGGTCCGCTAGTGAATATATAAATTTGAAAAAATAATAAAATTGAAAAACTTGACTTGATAAACTTTTTTTCAAATTTTCAAAATAGTTTTTGAATCAGTGGATAATTAAACATATCACACCATTTATTCCAATACACTCACTAAATGAAATTTGAGAAAAAACTTTTGAAAAAACCATCTTGTAAAAGTACAAAATGTAAATATGTAAATTTTGCACATTTTTATGACCTTTCACTCCTACAATTTAGTTCCTTGTCAGTGAGCCATAGGAATATTTATGTATCGACACTTTCCCCTTTCTTCATTCCTACAACAGCATTAAAACGGGTAGACATCTGGCTGTCTAAAAAATTAAAAAAGTTGCAGTGCTGCTTATGAAATATTTTTGAATCCTTTTCATGCCAAATACATTATTCGTTAAGTGTTTTGACTTTTGTTACATTAAACCAAGAACTATTTTATAAAGTATCACAATTAGAAAATTAATAAATCATTTTATTTATTCTATCAATATTAATATATTAATAGAATATATGCTCTAATGAGAATATATTGATGGAGGATAGAATCTATCTGATTTGTGCAGGGACTATAAAAATATGTGTTCAGAAGGAGCAGAAGCAGTACAAGAACTTACATGAAAGTTTTCACTTTAAATTTTAGAAATAGAAACAGTTAAGTTTATTATACTATGTCTTGCAAGCAATTTACCAAGTCAAAATTTACTGTGTAAGTTATACTTTTTTTATAAAACATTGATTTTTTTAATTTTATGATTCTATAGATATCTATTAAAATTACACTTAAAGAAACTTATTACTAAAACTACTCTCTTTTAATAATTAAAAACTTATAATTTATAATAAGCAACCTGTAAAAATTATTGTCTTTTACATGAATAATGGTCGAAAAAAATTTTGAAAAACATTTCTCATTGAAAAGCGAGCCATAACTTATTTATATTAATTCATGCTTGTTAAGGGCTCTTTTTAATGGCTCTCTTCCATAATTGCTTATTTATGATAGTGACGGTATTTTAATAAACATTCTATATATTTACAACTGTTTAATAATATGTATATAGTCTTTTGAACCATATAACATGTATTAAAAAAATATTTTAATTTAGTTACTTGGTACCAATTAAAACATTTAACCTTTTTTCCATTTCTCTTCCTCATTTATAGTTTGAAAACCGAAATGAGTCTGTTTATTATTTATTTCTTCTTCAGTCGAGGCTGTTTTCCTTTTCGTAGTCAAATGTCGTATACTATACACAGCACGCGCTGTGTTTTGTGTTCGTAACCATTTAAATACACTAGTCTTTATTGAAGACATGGTAAAATGTACTTTTATATAATATTAACTATATGTATCAAATACATAAATCAACCAACACTGAATTATAGATAACCAATGTTTATCTTTATTTTATTTTCTTTTTCTTCTTCTAATCTTCTTTGATTAATGGCCTCTCATATAAGAATTCTGCCAATGTCATGTCCATTAGCTTAAATTATTATGAAATTATGAATTGTCAAGTGAAATGTCAATTTTCTTGTCAATGTCATCGTCAATCAGGGTTGCATTTAGATAAGTTAAAAACGATAGTATAAAAAAGATTGTGGACCGAAACATTAATTAAATATTTAAAGGCACCTTAAAAACTTGAGCAGCTCGTAAATACTAAATTCGTCTAGTTAATTTGTACCTAAATGCCACTCAGTGAAAATTCCGTATACTGAAACGCCACTTAACGCTATTTAGCTGTCACAGCACATAAAACAAAATAATCATAAATGTAATAAGTAAGAAACCAATACCTTTTTAACTTTTAAGGGTATTTCTATTTCAATAATTTTAGTTTTAAAATTTGTCTTTCTAATCTGTTATTAATAATATAATATTTGTTAATTTTTGTACAGAATAAAATAAATATTATATTTATTAAGAAATTTAATTAAAATTAACATTCCTTAATTTATTTTGAAAATATTGGTTTTAACATTGCTTTCTTTTTTATTTAGTTTTAGTAGTCATTTAAAATATGTAGAAAAAGTACATCTCTCGTTCGAATTATCGTTGTAAAATGATATTCGGACTTGTTTGTATGCTGGAAAGGATATAAAAATGGATGGGCCAAGCATTGCTTCAAATACTAAAAAACAATGTAGACAACACAGTGGCGACAAGCTTTTCATACTTTTTCTACATCTTACAATGATCAATCTTAAGTGTAAAGATTAGCACTATAAACAATTTAATACCAGTCAAATTAGAAGTTGATGTTGAAGGCATAAAAGCAGGATTCCGTATATTTCAGATTTGAGTTCATCCTGTAAACAAAGAATAATGTTAGCAATGCTCGGGAATTACCTTTTCATAGGGATGGTAATTTCATAATATATAAACATAGTACATAACTGGAGACTTTATTTGAATATTATGAAAGCATTGAGTTTTCGATGACTTTCGTGACCCGCAAGAGACGACCAAAGACTATTTTCACTAGAATATTAGCTTTAAAATGTTTTAAGAGACCTCGTAACCACACTCAGATCTAAAGGCTACTCAAATCGTTTTAACAGTTGGTTTAACAGATTTTTTTAAACGACATTTCATTAAACGAAATTTTTAACGTTTAAGTATAAATTAACTTGAGCAATTTAGTGCTTACGATCTACTCAAATGTTTAAGGTGCCTTTAAATATTTAAGTAACGTTTCAGTATTCGGCCCTGTATTTGTGAAAATAGGAATGTACATTTATTTTCAATTTAACCTAATCAATACAGTATACGTAACTGTAATATATACAATTATTAAGGTAGTTAAGGTGCAATGTTTCTCTTTTTCTGCTCCTTCTAAGACGTTTCGTTTTAAATCTTCTTTGGCGTAGATATTCCTGGTCTAATGTCGTTTTCGTGACTATTTTTCATTCCATTAGCAAACCTTTAAAAAAATTTAATTACTCTACTCAAAATACTCCATAGATAATTGAATTTCTTCTCCCAAGGGATCAGTTGCTTGTAGATATTTTTCTTAACTTACTGTTCTTGTTACCTCGGGAAAGTTTGGTTAAATTAATTATAGTGTGTAAAATATACAGCGTGTCTTTACAATCGTGACAATTTTTGGATAACTTTTTAAAATTGTATTAAACATTTACCGAGTTATAAAATTTTCCAAAACAAAGAATTTTAGAACATCCTTACCTAAAAACTGTAACGTAAAGTTCATTTGTAAAGGTCACAAAGCATATGAATGGGTTGAATGAATTTAAAAGAGACAAAACATACTGCAGAAGGAGAGGCTTGTAATGCGACGCTGTGGCAACGAATGAAAAAGTCTCTGAATGTATGAATCAGTAAGTTGTAGTTGTATAAGATGTGACAAAATTTCGTTTCTTTTATACTTAATTAGTTTGATTGAAAATATTTATGATTATTGGCAAGTAGGGTTAGACGTGTGTTCATTTAGCGACGCGGTGGTAACGACACGCTGTATTGCAATAGTTTTTTCCAGGTTAAAGTCTGTTCTCCATTTGCGAAATTAATCGTTAATGCCTTATAAAGCAAGTCGTTATGCCACACTTTGTTTAATGCCTTTGCGATAATGAAAAAGAGCGCACCCGTACAAATTGGGTGGAGCTGGTTATGGCCCTTTAGGATATTAGGTTCTGTGAGGCGATGGATTTGTTTAGGGTCAAAGAAAAGGGATTTTTTTTTTAAGGGTACTGTCATAAACGTGACCTTGTTGAAGCAGATATAGTAGACATACACAAATACAATTTCCCCAACTAGTTAAGGACGGAAGCAATAGGGTGATATCTTGACGGGAGGGTGCGTTTATTTGACTTTGGAATGCCGATAACTGACTTCTTTCCAGGCAACCAGGAAGGGGTCGCTAGAGATTCTGACAATACTGGCAAGCAAACAGATGCGAACCGGGACGAGCTTTAAGAACGTTATTGTTTATGCGTAATAACGTGGGTAGGAACGAGATTTTAGCTCTTTGATTATATCTTTGACCTATTCTGTGGTCACTATCTGAAGAGGGTCACCTGTTAGTAATGCAAAACGGTAGTAGTAAAGTACCAAATTGTATTAAGTATATTTTTGGTTTAAAAATGTCAATTTCCCGCAATATCAATCTATATTTAAGAGATTGTAGTCAACAAAAAAATGTTGTTTCTAGGAATACCGAAAGTGTAGAAATGTTTAGAAATCGGCCTCGATTTCAGACTTCCGTCTCGGATTCGAATTTAGAAAAAAGTTGCGTTTTTGATACGATTTCAATATTGAATATTGGGTAATCTTAATCATATTTTCTTTATAATAATTGATATATCGGATCAAAATATAGCGGCTAAAAATATCGATTTATTTAATAAAAACATCATATTTTGACGTTCCTAGTTGTTTCATTATCATTTGTCAATGTCATATCAGGATTATCGAAATCATTTTCTTGCTATAGCAAACAGTACTTTTAAAATAAAATTTGAATTGAAATTTATATATCTGTTTTTATTTTTATCATACCACTAACCACTTACGTCCGTTTAGAAGGAAATTGCATTTTTTTTACTTATTATAATTTGAAAATTCAAAACAATGTGTGAATTAATTTATCTTTGAAAGATGGTAAATATTTCCCAGGGAGCAAGATATTTTCGCAAGTTTTGATTCAAGATCATGACTACAAATTTTAAAACACTTAAAAGTGAGAAATAATCATTTGTAAGATAAATTTTGATTAAGGAAAATTTAGGTATTTAAGCAAATTCTAGGTAATTTTTTATAGTGCTAATCTCTGCACTTAAGATTGAACATTAAAACATGTAGCTCAGTGGCTAGCGTCAGGCCGCGAATGTCGAAGACGTGGGTTCGATTCCCACAGCGGCGATAATCTTTTCGTACTTTTTCTACATGTTTTAAAATTCTAGGTATTTTAACAAGAGGGCCTTGTTTTAATTCCTTAATTTTATACTATGAAAGGATTAAAATGAATGAGTACTCTTACTGCAATCTTTTCTCACATTTTCAGCTGTTCCAAAAGAATCCAAGTATGTTGAGCATAAACTAAAGCATTGTCAGCAATGTTACAACTGGGACTGTGGTATAGCCTGCACAATGATGTTACTATCTTTGGAACAGAGGGAAAATATGAGAGAAAACTTCTGGAAAATATGTCAGGATGAAGGTTTTGAACAATCAACCTGGACTATAGATCTCTGTTACTTATTAGTGAGGTATTTTATTTAAATTTCAACAACTAATTGTCACAGAATTCCTTTTTTTAAATATGTACATTCGGATTAATGACATTTTTGAGTAAGAATTGGCCATTATAACTTATGTGCGTTTTTGTGAAAAAAAAAGTTATTAGCGTCTAATATAATAAATTTCTACAGATTTGGCATTGAACATTGCATGTATACAACAATAAAGGGTGTCAGTAATACACAAGCTAGTTGTGATAAATTAGACTATAAGGTAACACCTTGTTATTTAATAAGCGGCTTATCATTATTTAAAACCCCCTTCCACCATTGTTTTGCAAAGAAAGTATTATTTATGAATGTCTGCATTTTCACATAGATTTCACATTGCTCTGTTCATGTACTACAAACATACATGCTTTATATGTGTCTTTCTTTTTTATTGCTTGTGTGATACCTGTAGCTTCTATATACAATCTTTTAATTGTATGGCGGTTATTGATGCAGGATTAATAAATATAAATAAATTTCTAAACTACATGCTTTGTCACTGATAGATTTTTAAACCCAGATTGTTAAGGATCTGGGAGTTAGTCTATGTTACATTTTTAAAATAACTAAACAATGTAATAATTTCCTAATAATGATATAGCTTTGTTAGGATAAAACATTTTTCCGTAATGCTAATTTTAATTCTCAATGTTATATGAAAATTAATTTAAGAACAAAAATTGTTTTTAAACCTCTTGTCTTAATTTGTATTGGTGATATTAAATGCACAATGCAAATAAACAATTACTAGAAATTCCTTGTGAAATGTGGGTATTAGTTTTTTTATGCCCAAATTATTTGAAAATTCTGCGAAATATAAGCCTAAGATATGATGCATACATGCCTAATGTTTTCTTACTATACTTAAATATCTTCATTCACATATTTAGTATATTGATATTAAGAGAGCTTTTGGGACATTTAACAGTGGCCATATATACACCCTTATTTTTGGTTGGATAACTTTTTCTGTTACATGAATTGGCAGGCTTGTTCAGAGCCCGTATAATGGCCTCACAGAAAATCAGATAATCAAATAACACAAGTGTAATATGCAGGGATAACTTCTTATGTAAAAATAAAATTAAGTTTTATGATTTCATGCTATGGATATCAAAATTTTCTCTTTAGACACGAAAACGTGTGGAGAGGCGCTTTCAGAATGCTGATGAAGCTGGTATACTAATATATATACAAGAATTGGGTTCAGAGAAACTTCTCTCGCACATAGAAACCAGGGGTCCTGCCATAGTCCTTGTTGATGCTGCTTTATTGGTGTGCGACCTGTGCAAACATAATAAATTACGAGCAGAGTTCAGGTCTGTATTGGTTGAAATATATTTAGCTTACACTATTTTTAAATTATATTTACCGGCACCAATTATTTTACTGTAAGAATATAATAAAATCGAATATCATATATTATTTTCAATAGTATGTAACAATATATATTGAGGTTCTTCAGATTTCTTAAATGCTAACTATACCCATTTTCCTCTCCCATTATCAAAACAAGAAAAAAGATACATGTAACAATATTAAACTTTGCCTTGACATGTTGGTGACCTAGTTTGTTTGTTACAGTTAAATGATAAAACACCCCATAGGTGGTAGTAATTTTAAACCTCTGCCGTTAAATCTGGTAAATTTAAGTGAACCATTTGATTGTTGTTACAGACGTGCATTCGGTGGTCCGTATCGCGGTCACTACGTGGTGGTTGTAGGATACGCTGGTGGTAAAATCCTGTACCGTGATCCGGCATTGAGCCCACGTCTTTGCGCTACCTCACCGGGTCGCTTACACAACGCGCGTCGGTCGCCAGGAACAGACTTCGATGCTATACTAATTTTTAAGGACTTCAGATGATTGAATAAAATTTTATGTTATGTCAAATTAATTTACTGCTTAGTTTAAAACACTCCCAGTTCCCTCAAATCTATGAATGATGGCCGCTTTGATTATGTATTTGTCTAGATGCCGCATTAGCCGCACCGAACGGCACAAAAAAATGTCGAATAAAATTGGTAGACTTGGCATTTCACTTATATCAGTGTCATTTGAATCACTAACGGATAACACACACAACTCACTGGCATAAAAGGAGATATCATTTATACAGGGTGAAATTGAAGTATTACTAGTTCTTCTTCTTCTGGGGTGCCCTATTCTATCGGATGTCGGCGACCACCACACGAAATTCTTCTCTATTCTGCGCCAATCTACAAAGACTGACGGCGTCCTTGATGTCTGATCTTGATTACTAGTTACATTAAGACAAAAATTATTATGTATTATCATAATCAAAAATTATTTATGCACTAATGTAGTAGAGAAATCCTCTTAAATCTAGGTAACATTGTTTTCTGTAATGGTGTTGGTGATTAGAAAGTACCGTTGTTTTGTTTAATGTTATTAGTTTACTCAAGTTGCGTACTAAGTATGAAACTTAGTTCAAGTTTATGTTTAGCACTTTGACTGTATCTTTTTATAATTAATACCCAGATAGGCAGCTATGGAAGCATCGCAGATTTGCAATTGGTTTTATATGGATTCTTGGAAAAGCGTGAACATCACTTTCCTCGCTTCTTGAGCTCAAGGATTTAGTATTTATTTCCTTTTCATTATAATAAAAAAAAAGAAAAACAGTATAAGTCACAGTAAAAAAAATAAATAGAATGAACGATAAAAAAGAAATAGGTATTGTATTTTTCCTTTATGAGACAGAGGCGAGTTTCTGTTATTTTATACTATTTCTACTTAACTTGCGAGTTGAATCATCGTAGTAACCTTTTGTTACCGACAGTTGAGTTGACTTCTGTAGTGTTTGTGAATGAAAGAGAAGGAAGCATTATGTCGTCTCAAGTGCACGCGCGATCGTAACAACGATCAGTTCATAGCTTGTGAGAGTATTATAGCCCCGTGGGTTCTGGCCCCCGTGGGTTCTGGCTAGCCCACCGGTTCTGCGTCCGATGAAGCTTTAATAGTCTCGGGTTCATCAGTTAAACTTGAGTCAACATCAGTTAATACAAGATACAAGTATTATAGCGTGACTGTGATGTGGATAGATAGGAGTAGCGACAGAAGGTGGACGCGTGAGCCTGTGAGCTGACAATATAAGAGAGAATGCTACAAATTCGACTAGCATTAACAGGAATACTGTGAGTTATTATTATTAAATCATATAAAAAAACGGGAAGAAGATATAATTTGCGGCGTGTAGAGATTAAGAATGCTCAAATTAATTAAATTTACAATACCAATTACACGGTGGAATCCTGTGAAGTAAATATTCTATTTGTCTTATTATTAAACTTACGTACGACGCACGACGACCGCGTGAGATTTTTGTTCGCTAGTGCTGTATGCAGTTCATTATTATTTTTTTTTAAAACATTGCCCTTATTTTAGGATAACATTATCCTGTGTTGTAAGTACGTTTTTACAAAGATAAATTTCACGTGGATTAACACCCCGATGCGTAACAGATATCTGTGGGTCACACAAATTTCACACAATAGTTGTCCCGTGTGGGAATCGAACCCACGACCCCCGACGCCGAAGCGAATACCTTGGCAACTGCGCCACGGGGTCATCAAATTATAAGTTGTGACTTAATGTATACAAACGTTGCGCTTTACGTTTGTATACATTAAGTCACAAGTTACATGCGGAGGAGTGCACTTGCACTAAAAATAAAAAGCGATTCTATTGGGTCTAGTTGCAAGGCAGCTTGCAAGGCAAGTTGACTCCCTACTGTCCGATGGTCCACAGTATTCGTACTCCTGAAGTAGACAGGCACAGTGGCTTACTCACTGTACTTGTCTACTTCACTAAAAACTTGACCAGTGTAAATCGGACTTTAAGCGCGGCACATACCTTCAAGGCCGTTCGGCAGCGAACGTGGGGTCTTGATCTCAACCTACACACTGTTCACTCGACCCTCGTGTGCCCAGACGCTATTTAAAAGCGAATCATACGGTCGTTTTGTCTTTTCATTGATAATTCATCACTTATCATCATTTCAGCCTGTGAGTGTCCACTGCTGAACATAGACCTCTCCTCCCTTTGTTTATTTTTTCTTTCATCTTTTTTTTATTTTCACTTCATTCGGTTTGAAGCGGCCTGCATCCAGCCAAGTCCGGCGACTCTGGACAGATCGTCAGAACATCTCGCCGGTTGTCGCGCCACACAGCGTTTTCCGAAACGCGCTCTCCACTCGAGAACTTTACTATCCCATCGGCCATTGATAATAACGAAACTTTATCTTTCGAACATTAATAGCCGGTTTTAATATTCTATCCACAGATACAGATTTGGTTACCAGCCATAGATAAAGGTATTTGACATTAGCTCCGTAATACTTCCGCAAATTCGTAGTAGCAAATTATACTACGAAAATTTTCTCGAGTTAAATCCAGGTTAATGTAGACACGCAATTTTTAAAATGGCACCACAATAGAAAAACAATTGACAGTCACATGAAATTTATTATATCTGAAGAATATATCAGAGTATTTTAAAATGTTGTAATTACTTTCTAAATATTATTTATGTTAGTGGCCAGTTCCGGAAACTTTTGGTGTGAGTGTGAGAGTGTATGATCTTCGGATAAGTTCCCAACTTGTGTCTTTTTGCAATTTATTTAGTTGGGTAAATCGCCACTTAAAACTTTGAGCACATAAAATGATAACCATTTTCTATTTTAATGTTCTCCCGGTCATTATTGTGACAACTCTGTGCGGCGAATATCTGCGATTTCCTTATTAATAATTATAGACTATAAAAGTAGCATGCATCGCTCTTCAAAGACAAGTCCGTCCCAATTCTGGGTCGTTGTTCCACGCGTAAAGTAATGTTATACTCGTAGGTTTGATTATATTATATAAATTAGTATTGTTAACGATACAAAAGTATTGTGTTAAAAATTTAAGTACACTACTATTAGTTTAAACTTCTTCTTCTTCGCTCCCTCACTAATGAAGATCGTGACCATATATAATTTTTCGCCATTTTTTTCTGTCCTCCGCTAGTTCAATGGATCGTTGAGAGTTTCTCCTGTTCCCTCTTCAATATTTTTACTCCATCGTGTTGGAATTCGGCCCACGATCAATTGCTTCTCCAGCTTATGTATTTGTGATCGCGGTGTATGTCCGAAGAAATTTAGCGGACGTTCGCGGCATATAAGGTAAGTTGTGTTTTGATGTGACGCTCTTGTAAGAGTTTTTCCTCATGACTGTCTATGGTATCTTTAGCATTCGTCTCCAGCGCCACATTATACACTTGTCTATTATACCGAGTTATTTCGCTCATTTTGCTAGGAAACTTGACGAGAATATTATAAATATCAACATTTACAATATTCTCGTCATTTTCCTGATTTAAGATACACCAGGGCTTAAATTGTTAAAAACTTTTTTGCTAAACTATTTTTCACTTTATGAATCGTAATTTACAGTTACTTTATAATTATTTTGATATTTTTAAGCTTTTCAATTCATGGTCTAGTATTAAACATATAATATGTATGCTTACTCATTTATATTAACCACTTAGTTATAACTCAGTTATTTTTCTATTACGTGATCTTTACTTAAATAAAATTATTTTCTATTATTGAAGGGACACCATTACAGGCAGTCCTCGTACTTACGGCATGTTAGGTTCTCGAAATATGCGACGTAAATCGAAACGACGTAAGTCGAGACATATTTTTTCATATGTTTACATGTAAAATTCAAGGGTTAGGTTCCACACTAATTCAAAATAAAAAAAAAAACTGCATTTATAACAAAGTATACTTTATTATCAAAAGTTAGTTCTTAAAATAATTATAATGCACTTATGAAATAGCTAGTTATTTTTGGTATTTGTGTGTTATTAATTTTAATAATGGTTATAAAACTTTAAAATGTAATCAAAATATGTAATAAGAAATAACTAATTAAACTTTTGTTTTAAAGAAACTATCAATTCAGGATTGCTTCGCTTCTTTCTTCATGCTATCATACAGATCTTGGTAACACTGATAGGCTGCACAATTTTTTTTATTAACGTTAAAACTTCTCTCAAAATTAGGATCATTTTCTTCAAAAATTTTCATGAAAATCTTAGATTTAACCTCCATTGTAATTGTCTTTCTTACTCTCTTGTTCAATTTAATATTACTGTCTTGTTTAGGTGGCATAGTTTAAAATTCACTTAAATAAGTATATAAAAACATAAACTGTCAAAGATAAAAAAAATAACTAATGTATTATTACGCCTTGATTGTCCGGTGTCCCTGAAGTAATTAAACAAAATCAGCGGCATGTGCGGGGTAATCCCCGCACGCCGACACCGCGCCCCGACGGTCCCACGGACATTGACATAGATAAGACATATATACTGAAATTACTGGACATTGATCTCGCGACAAGTGAATTCTCCTATGCCGGAAATCGAAACAAATGACGTATGTTTGAGGAATAGTGTCAAAACATTGTTCGACGTAACTTGAAACGACGTAAATCGAAATGACGTAAGTCGAGGACTGCCTGTATTAGTTTCTTGTTATAAATTGATATGGTTTATCCTTTGTTGGAGATCCTGTACATATAATAATTAATGCGTTTTTAATTTTATTATATTTTTAATTAAGTTTTATGGAAAAACATTTATTCAAAATATATTAAAGAATTGTTGGCTTCAAAAGCAAAACTCGTCGACGTATGACTTCACTCGTTTTTTGTGTGTTTATGTAGAACATTTTAAAACATCGTTTAAATATTGTTACGTGTTAGGGTTCGAAGGATTTGGAGAGAAAGACCTGCTGACTCTTTTGAAGACTTTATTCACTAGCACTAGGTCCAACACAAAGCACTAGGTCCAAACACAAAGCACTGACGATGTCCTAGGTTGTAGCCAAGTAGTAGGTTTCACTGGTATCGCTCTTGATCACTAGTTTTCACTCCGAAGTCGCCTCGAATGTAGCTCAAACTGAACTGTCCCGGCTCGCCTCTCTGCGGCTTTTTATATGGGCCGAGACGAGCCCCAGACTATTCCAGAAAGTTCCTTCCTGGAACGTACCCGACTTGCGCAAACGTGATCGTGATTCCGGAAAGTTCGCGAATATACCCGGTTTTCAAGACTATAGTTCCACAGTAGTTTCTCTAACGCCATCTAGTATTGAATAGGGGGTTTTGTGTTGTCTTTGTTCCTTGAGTGGTTTTACTGGTTGACGCTAGATGACGCTAGTTTCTTTGTGTGTTCGTAACACTTAGAGACACATACTCTTAGAGATGCTCGTCCCGAGCATCATTGTTACTGCCATGGTAACGCGCCAGACGGTCTATGTGTACCACATTGAATGTCCCTCTTGGTGGCTTTTGAATCCTATAAGTCACGTCATTTAGTCGGGTAACCACTTTGTATGGACCGTCCCACTTGGTCTGCAACTTTGGAGATTTCCCTTTCCGGCGAGTTGGGTTATGTAGCCACACCAGTGACCCTTCCTCAAAGCCGCTTGTGTTCGATTTCCGGTCGTATCTGGTTTTCATGTTCTCACTTGACTGTAACCCATTTTCCCGAACCAAGGCGTGTATATAGCGCATTTTTCCCTTAAATTGCAGACATCTTGTACGGTCTATGGTCCCTCCGGTGACCGTCCTGTCAATAGGTCTACTGGTATTTGAAGTTCTCTACCGTAATTGACATATGCCGGGGTAGCTTTTATGCTCTTATGCTCGGCGGTTTGGTATGACAGAAGGAAGAGTGGTATATACTTGTCCCAATCCTTTTGTTTGTCGTCTACCAATTTTGCCAAATGCCTCTCAAGGGTCTGGTTAAATCTCTCAACCATTCCATCAGACTGTGAGTGGCACGCGGTGGTCCTCGTCTTATGCATGCTCAAAATTCTGCACACTTCCTGGAATACTTGCGATTCGAAGTTCCTGCCCTGATCGGAATGGATTTCTAGAGGCACACTAAAGCGACATATCACTTCTTCGACTAACTTAGAAGCGACTGTTGTAGCTTCTTGGTTTGGTATGGCGAACACTTCGGGCCATTTGGTGAAGTAGTCCATGACGACCATAAAATACTTGTTTCCCGATTCCGTTACAGGAAATGTCCCAGCTACGTCAACTGCAATTCGTTCCCACGGTGCACCGACGTTATACAACCGCAGGTTCCCACGGCTCCTGGTCTGTGGTCCTTTTACAGCAGCGCAAATAGAACATTTGCGGCACCAATCCTGTACATCATCTCGACAATGCAACCAGTAGAATCGTTCTCGCACATTTGTTAACGTCCTCTTGACACCTAGATGACCTCCCGATACGACATCATGTATTTCACGGAGAACATCTGGTACTCTCGTTCTTGGGACGACTATCTGAAGATAGAACTCTCTGCCGTTAGTTTTCTCCCATTTCCGGTAGTGTATTCCGTTTTGAAGTATTAGATTGTCCCATTGCGTCCAGTACGCCTTAGAGACAGCGCCAGTGGGTGCAACCTCACTCCAGATTGGTTTTACGTCACCCCGTTTCTTCCATGTGATGATGGACAGCGCCAGTGGGTGCAACCTCACTCCAGATTGGTTTTACCTCACCCCGTTTCTTCCATGTGATGATGTGCCGAAGGTCGTCATCTCCTTCTTGAGTCTCCCTCATAGCATCATTCTCCCATAGACCCAAAGGACTTGTTCTCGTTAGCTTTAATGTTACTTCATTAGATTCGTGCTTAACACAATGTTTACAGCCTTTGTGAGAGTGCGTTGGCATTCCCATGCGTCTTTCCGCTGCGGTGTTCCGTCTTGAAGTCAGTACAGCTCAGTCATTGATCCGTAGTTGTGGCCGTCTACTGAGGCTTCCTCCGCGTTAGCCAGTACTCGCCCCTTAGTCCTGGCTTTTATTCGTTTCCCTGAAGCCCCTTGCTTCTTCAGCTCCTCTATTTGTTCCTCAATCCTTTTCATCCTTTCCATCTGGTTCTCCTTCTGCGGGCAGTTAAGCTGAAGATGGCCCCCTCTCGCCGCACTTGTAGCACATGGGTCCAGAACTTCTCTTCGTAGGAGCCTTAACCTCCTTGACTTCCTCAGCCTCGACCTCCAAAGTGTGCGCCAATGCCTCCTTTAGCGAGGTATGGTGACGAAGCCTCACTGCAGCTCTGACCTCCAGGTCTTTGATTCCGTCTACAAATGCTTGAACAATATTCGTGTCTATCATCTTGGCGTCGGCTCCTGGGTGAGCCTTCCTGACGAGTTTTTCAATTTCCAACGCCCATTGTATGTGACAACAAAGTGAGATTCGTCATCGCTTATTAGGAGCGTTTATTAAAACTCTCGACGATATAATATGAAAATGTATAAAAATATTATAATTAATTTGTCGATAATGAATATAACATTGATTGACTCGGTAAGTCGTTATAACTTTAACGGCGCTTAAGATGTTCAGAATCTTTAGGTAATATTCATTTTCTTCCTTGACAGTTTTCCTTTGTTTTGCATTGTGACCAATAGGTTCCCTAATAAACCTTCTAGAGATTTTACTTCGCATTATTTTAAATAATGGTTTCAAATAGTTTAAGGCAATCGGACCCGGGTCACTCGATTGAAAAAATATAAAAATTAAAGTAAAAAAAAATAACAATAAAAAGGAAATCCAGCGAGGACATGCCTTTTCGGCACCATTCTATATGGGTTTGTTAGATAACGTGTAACTTAGCAAGTGTATAAAAAATAATTTAATATCTACCTTCTCGAGTTTAAAAAATTAAGTATAAACTCTTTGTTCGTTTACATTAAATGTTCAATTATAATGTAATTAAATGTAAATTCACACATGGAAGTTTTTTAAGGGCATAATTATTAGATATGCGCCGAATGTGGCTTATATCGAATAAGACTATGCGGCGAACATTACGCGCATCTCTAATAACTATATTATAAGATAAAAATACTATTCTTCCATAATAATTTAAAAATTTATCACGGAATTTTTATATGGTATAATAAATTACGTAGACTATATGTCATAGCGATTAAATTTTCCATATAGTTCCAAAAATATATCGAATAGAAGATAATACGCTTCAATAGTGTTAATAGGTACTCTCAGAGTATCGTCTGGTGATGTAATCGGGGCTCACTTTATTATAATGTAGAACAGAACAGAACATCAGTAGTGTTGCAGAAACGCATCTGCAACACTACAGATACAGTTCACGTCCATGGGCGGCGGTTATCACTTAACTGCAGATGAGATGAGATGAGCCGCCAGCTCGCTTGCCAAAACTTAAAATATAATTGATTTGATTTTTATACACCTAATAAGTGTCCCTATTCGGTGTATAGACCTCCGTATCTAGTATAAATTTCAACTTTCTACGTCTACCCGTTCCCGAGAAAATCGGGTATGATGGGCACTTGACCGGTTTTTAGTATTAGTTGTTATAACGGCATCAGAAATACATCATCTGTCGAAATTTTAACTGTGTAACTATCACGGCTTATGTGATACAGCCTGGTGACAGACGTACAGACAGCGGAGTCTTAGTAATAGGGTCCCGTTTTACCCTTTAGGTACGGAACCCTAAGAATGCATTAAACCTTAATATAATACTTCGACGGTAGTTTATCTTACACCGGTCCTGTCATCAGCCAGGACGGTCTTCTTATCGGTCTACCTGATATGTTATCAGAAGTCATGTTTGTTAGGCTTATAATTTGTTTGATCTCAGTATTGCTCATTCGCTCGAAGCGGTGATTTGTTGACAACTTCAAGTGCATTAAGGTAAGAAAACTGCTCATTATAATATACCCATAGGCGGTATCTAATAATTACTTATTTTAGATTAAAGTAATAACGTTATTAATTATTAACAATAAGTTTAGTTACCCTAGTTTAGGTACACCTAGTTTATTCAATCTAACATATAAAATTCTCGTGTCACGGTGTTTGTAATTGAACTCCTTCGCAACTGCTTGACCGATTTTGGTGAAATTTTGTGTGCATATCGGCTAGGGTGGAGAATCGGACAACATCTATTCTTCATCCCCCTAAATGTTTAGGGAGGTCCACCACAAACATTTTTTTCTACCTTACATATAATTTATATGGCAAAACTACGTTTGCCGGGTCAGCTAGTATCAAAGTAAAAATTAATCATCAGTGACTGATCATTTTAAAATTTTATTGATTATGAATACTCATTATGATTAAAATTTATTAAAAAAGCATTCTATCGTGTGTGTGTGTGTGTTTCGTATTCTTCGTAAATTGCCAACTGTAAAATAGTTCCAACTTAACTATTTTTCAATCTTATGATCGATTGATCACAACAATGGTACTTTATAAACCAATCTTCATTTATAGATATTTATTCAACAACTGTAAAATTATTAAAAAAGAATGTCCTATACCATATCTGAAAAAGCTTCACAAATGAGAAATGTATTCTATGTTTTAAATTGTCTTTAAAAAAATGACATTATACAACCATACTTGGTCGGGCAAAATTCATTTGAATATGTACAAGCTGGGAGAGAAATTGGTGTAAAATTATTTTAAGTATTAATTTTTAAACAACAATTGTGAGATTGTGTTAAGGATAAAAAAATATTTGAATCAATAATTACATATAACGGACGTGTGATGACACGGCGGCCCGTTTTCAAAGCTATTGGCTTTTCCACAGGAGGTCGTGGGTGCGATTTCCACATGGGGCAACTATTTGTGCGACCCACAGATAGTTGTTTAGGGTCTAGGTGTTTGTTTGTTCTCGAGGAGGGTTGACTGATGTTGAGGGATAACCGCCACCCATGCATATTTGCAACATCCATATTGTTAGAATTTAATTAGTCTTCTGGATATACATTTAAACTTATTTATTTAAATCCACTTATTATTATTATACAATACAATGGTTACATCAAGTCCACAAATCCACAATATCAAATCTTACAACAATAAATTATTAACCTCCATTTTTCTTTCAAAACAAAAGTGTCCTCTAACTCTACTGTCTGCTAGGGTTGCCAGATATTGGATTTATTTTTTTAAGTCTTAACATAATTTCATGTTTATCAATATGAAATGATTAATAAAAGGATATAATATTTATTTTAGGAATTAGCTTAATTTAATTGTATACAATATTCAAGTGCATATTTATAAGTACTTTTACAATATGATTAGAGAATGGGTTGCCTCATAATAAAGTGGGCCTCCACCTCACTCACCAGACGAAACGCAGAAGTATAACTTCCACCTTACGCCGTTCTTCTGTCTTATCTTTGGGTCTATTCACTTGTTGTTTGGTCTAAGAACAGTATGATGATAAACTGAATAAATAAAGGGAACATTTGAACTTTTTTTTTGTTGAATTATATAATCCATGTGTTAGCCAACTATACGCATATGTTTAAATAAAAAGTAAACAAGTATTATAATTATATCCATCCATCACGTAAAATCTACAAATTCTAATCAAAAGATTATTAATCATTAAACGTTGGCTTTAATCTGTATACAAAATATTTATCAGGGCGTATCGAACGATTTGTTTCAAAGATTGTATAAGTTGTTACATTATTTTTATACATAAAGTGTATTCTGTACTGTCTAGTTCCTATTTTAGTTTGTTGATGTGATGACACTTATTGATCGGTTAGGTTTAGATATCATTTTATCGGTAGGAAGACCAGGCAACAGTTTTCGCTGTTGCACGAATGGGCCGGCCCGCGACTCGTAGGTACATGACCTCACAGAAGACCGGCGTAAACTGGAAGTACTTCTGCGTTACGTCTGGTGAGTGTGGCAGCCGGGGCCCACTTTATTAAAAGGAGGCAACGCATCTGCAACCCCACGCATATGTCCATGGGTGGCGGTTGTCACTTACCATCAGGTGAACCGCCAGCTCGTTTGCCAAAATGTCAAGGAGCCTCGCGAAGCGATTACCAATGCGAAGTGGAAAGTGGTCCTAATCCTCAATCTAAGTTAACCTGTTCATTAAATGTACTAGTAACATTGGCTAACGTCATATGGGCTACCTTGTTCAAAGAAGGCTTTTAATAAGAAGAACCTACGCTTAAAAATCCAAAACACGATTGATGTTTTCCTTTACCGCCGAGCACGAGATAAGAGAGAAAAGTACTTAAAATTAACAATTTCGTTGGTGCCGGCACCGGGGATCGAACTTAGGTTGCTCGAGTATATTAAATTAAAGGCGAGCACTGAGGACACTGAGCTATCACAGGTAAAATAAAAAGACTATTAATTAAGCCACTTGAGGATATTTTATTTTTTATCTGCAAGTTATGGCCTGATGGTACAGGCATTTCCAATAAATTTATTTCCTACCATTTGATCAGAACTCCATAAAACAAAAAGCCTTAATACCTAGTACGATATTGTCACTTATTATTAATATTTAGATTAGCCTCTGTAACCTTTTTTTTTCGTGGGAAAAATCCTTTATGGATCCCCTGCCACTGGATCGGGGAAGCGGCAGGGGTATGAGGGAGTTCTGTAAAAAACGGGTTCGGTACCCACGTTGCACTATCTCTGTCGCATCGGACACGGGAACACTTGGACGCAATCCTTCGCGACAGCCTCTGTAGCCTAGTATATGTAGAATGAATAATGGTTATGTATATTTCTGTTTACCTACTATTTAATTTATATTAATTAAAGAAAATTATTTTAACACGAGACAAACGAAAGCAAGTGGTGCTCGTGTCGGCGAGTGCGTAGGTGTGCGTAGGAACGTCTTCTTCATCTTTAAACTTATTCGTATCATATGTGATATTAACTGTGGTAGGGCCACGCAGCAGCCACGGTTGCACGAATGGGCAGGCTCATCCGGGTAAGTACCACGACCTCACAGAAGACCGGCGTAAAGTGAAAGTATAATACTTTCGCGTTTCGTCTGGTGAGTGAGGTGGCCGGAGCCGAATTTTCAAAAGTTTGTCAACGCATCTGCAACCCTCGGGTGTAGCAGATGTCTATGGGCGGCGGTATTTACTTAACATCAGGTGAACCGTCTGCTCGTTTGACAACTTTTCACATAAAAAAATATGATTTTTTACTCATAAGCTGGCCAGCGCTTTGTTGTACGCGTTAAGAAAGAGGAAGAAAACCTTCCATTCGAAAGAGGTGGGGATTCGATAAGATAATGATGGAATCGGGATATAGTATAAAAGAAGACTTGAAAGTTTAATAAAACTGAACCAACAAAAATTGTTTGATAGTTTCTTGCAAATTTATTCATATCCGTCAACCTTGATTCATCCAGTTTCGCTGTTTCTTCAGGCAAAGAATTTTTTTTTATTGTACACAGAGTATAAGTGAAAACAAAGTTACATTAAAGTACGTACAAAGGCAAGCTTGCCCCTAAAATAGTTTTCTTCCAGTAAACCCTGTCATTAGATTAGAAACAAATTATTATAGGTTATAGTATTCATAAAGTGTTTATGGACCGTTCTTATTTTTACAGACAAGCGAGATGTCAAAGCGAACGGTTGTTAACGAGGTTTACAAAGGCCTGGTGGAGTCGATGAGCATCCCAGTGGAACTTCACGAGAGGGACGGCAGAAAGTTTGCCCGTTTCGGGTCAGTGGTGGCGATCCATTGCTGCACCCCGGAAGAGGTAATGAGCTAACGATAACAGAACAACCTTTGGATTGCATTATCGATCATTTACCACGTACCCCGCTGCCTGTGTATGTCCGCCGCTATGTATGCTTAGATCTTTAAAACTGCGTAACGGATTTTGATGCGGTTTTTTTACTGGATAGTGATTCAAGAGGAAGGTTTATATGTATAATAACATTGCACCCGTGCGAAGCCCGGGCGGGTCGCTAGTCGTTTATTAACTGTTCATGAAATATTTGCCTTCTTCAACATTCAGAAAAAAGATGAAATTCATATTTGATTTTGTTAGGTTTGGTTAGATGTTATAGAAACATATCAAAAATATCTTACATTGATTAACATGCGAAAAAAGACGTCAATGCATACCGCTGTAGTTCACAGCGGATGCAGTCACTGCACTTTACGGCAAATGTATTATGTCGGGATATTAAAAAGTGGTGTTCCGATGACAAAAGTTATCACCATCACATCCTGCTCTCATCCCACCCAGGATTAGTTGGTATTGGTTAGTATTTTTGCCATACCTTGATCTGGAATAATATGGGTCACACACATGCCTTTCGCGATAAGTAACTGCGTCACCGAGTTTGTGGTGTTCTTGATAAAAATATTAAAACAGGAATAAGTTCATGCTATTTTGGACCATAATTTTGTATCACGGGTTCTCTGAACAATCATATTTAAATATCTACATTAAATGTCTCGTCAATTCTTACGGTGTATCTATAGGAATAATATAACAGTCGCCAGACCGTTGTACTGAGTGGATGTGTGCTAACTTTAGTGAAAAATATTGTGCGACCTGTGTTGTGGGACAAAGAACCCTTTTGAGGGAAAACTACACCAACGAATGGGGCGACGCATTTCTATACAAATATTGAATCAAATGAGTCAAGGAATCATTGAAGTAAAAAGTGAGATAAAGATTTACGGACCTCACATGAACAAACGAGAAACCTAATTAGTTCTAATGTAGCGGAACTTAATAAACAAAACCAAGACATTAAGTCCGCCGTGTCAAAAATGTCATCAGAACAAGCCGATTCAAAAGCTCAGCTATCAGATAAAATAAAATAAATCCAACGAATTCGAAGACCAATTATATGGAAACAAGCAAATAATTCGTGAAGTCCAAGAGCGAAAAGAAGGGAAAGCAATATCATTATAGTCGGCATACCTGGGCCAAATTCCACCAGCACCCAAGACAGGGTCCTCAAGGACGGTTTAAATATTACTTCTACGATTGACAAAAACTTATTAATCCAAATAAGATATTTGGCATCGGCAGATACACTCCATGAAGAACACGCAGGATTTAAGATTGTTTTGACAAATCAGAGCCGGCTATGCCAGAAATGCTAAGATCAAAATCAAATGTCTTTATTTAACATAGGAGTATTACACTCGCTTATTAATACTCAAAATACTACAACCGTCAAAATACTACCTACCTAATACTCTGCAGCAAAGATAAATTACCCGATAATATTAGAATTTTGTCGGGCCAAACAACAGCACAACCAAAATACATTTTTCATATTAAAGATGAACATTCACTATGCATGAAAAATGGACAAAGTGATCTTACAATAAAATATGTTAACGGTATACCGAGTGTGATTAAATCGGTTCCAAAAAACTCCAATCACTAATGATAAACGATGCCCCAGCTGATACTATAGCTTATCAAATTGTTAACGATCACCAACGCATCTGGACAAAAAATCACGATTATATTTTATACACTATTTATAAATTACAGGAACTTCAAAGATTGCAAAATAATATATTTAAAATACTTTTCCGTTACCCGTACATGACGCCAACATCCAGATATAAAAGAGGATACAAAATTAATGAACATAAACAATTATATAATCATATACAACACTTGTATTCTAATTAGGATAATGGATAAATCCATTGATAATAACTTATCATACAACAAAGTCACAAATAAGTGAACGCAGTCTTTGTCGTCCTAGCATACGCATAAAAAAAGTATACAGCACAGTATCTTTGAACACGTTGCAATTATCTCAATACGTAATTGAAAACATCTCGCCTTCGTTTGAGATATAAAGCTGTTGACTGTTCGGCGACCATTACTTTAGTTAAAAATTGTATAATGTTATCATTCATGTAAGTTGCATTGTGTTATCTTTTTGGGAATAAATTTAACCTCTCATGTAACGCAATGAAATTACAATGTCCACCATAGTGAACATATTAAAAGTTAACTTATGGCTAAGGCATATACCATTGCGGAGTGTCTAGACGACGCCAATGTGTGAGGTTAATATTGTTGATGCTCACGCAGGCTAAAATAAGATTTATACCTCTCCTCTTATATTGTAAACTAATCGTTTTAAAAAGAGCAACGGTTGAGTTTCTTGCCGGTTTCTTCTCAACAGAAACTGCTTTCCGAACCGGTGGTAACGTATTCATTTTTATGTAAAATTTTGACGTTTCATAAGATCGCGCAAGCGTCTATGTGAATAAATATATTTTGATTTGATTTGATTTGATAGAAGTTTCATTTCGAATTCCCGGCACTGTTGACCTTTCCTCCGTTCGGAAAAGTAATTTTATTACTCATTAGATACACTTTCATGTTTGCATTGCACCTCTGTACTACAAGTGTTGTGTACAATATTGTGAATAATCTTTGGTCTTGTAGGTTAAAGAGCGTTCCTTGAACACTCATCACTACTGCGATGTCTTCACAGAGCAGCTTCTGGCGCCTCTGGGAGAGCTTGCATATGTTCGACTCGACGAAAGCACCGCCGAAAAGGTATGTAAAAGTCTTACGTTAGTTTTCCTTTTCCTACCCGTTTGTGCCTTAGCAATTGATCCGCCAAGCCATTTAGAAAAAACTTTTTACATAAGTGTGTTCACTTATTTAAATAAAAATCTAACCTTACATTTTAGACCCCATTAGTTATCTATAGACCATACTTATTATGCACAGGGCCAGATTTAGAGGTCTGGAGACCTCGGGCAACAAGGGAGTGGAGGCCCCTTGGCCCCAAATTAATTTCTATTGATTTCTGTTAATATTTAATGTAATCATGTTTGTACAAAGTACTGCAGGTAAAAGTAAAACGCGAAAAAAAATTTGAAAGAAACGTTGTTTACTATTGTTTACTAGTCTGAATTTGAAGTCTCGATTGTGGGGGCCCCTCATCAGTGGAGGCCCAGGGCTGTTGCCCCGGTTGCCCTCCCCTAAATCCGGCCCTGATTATACATCTATATTTACATTTTATTAAGGGTATGTTCGATATGATATGCACTGCGACCACTGTACAGTATGACGTCAAAGTAGTATACTGTGGTTCGTTCCTTTATAGTTAGTTATACTGGTTACTATTTAAAACGGAACGCAATCCCGTATACTGATAGCCGCATTTTTTGACGCAGCATTCAAATGAGTGTATTAAAGTATTCTAAATTTTTAAAGTTTTTTATAGTGCTAATCTCTGCACTTAAGATTGAACATTAAAACATGTAGAAAAAGTACGAAAAGATTGTCGCCGCTGTGGGAATCGAACCCACGTCTTCGGCATTCGCGGCCGAAGACGTGGGTTTGATTCCCACAGCGGCGACAATCTTTTCGTACTCTTTCTACATGTTTTAATAAAGTATTCTAGTTCATTAATTCAGTCATTACTTTATTAATTAATACATACATAATAATAAATATTAATTAATACAGTCTAATAAGGTTAATTTTTGCTTTATTTTTTGTTTTATTTATTAATCCAAACTAATTAGAGAACTTTATAACTTTGGGATTAAACTGTAGGTATTGTTTACAAAACGTTAGACCCTCGAGTGGTTTTGACTGATCACGTGATCAAAGTACTGCGAGTACCTTGCTTCGAAAATGCCAATGCTCACAGTAGAATATGGCGACGATTTATGACGTCATATCCTAGGGTACTGCGGCAGTGTGCTGGCTGTCCATTTGAAACTTGAAAGGAACGATTTTTTCTACAGTGATAGCACCAAAGAGCATGTAATAGAGTGGATAGCACTGTGCAGTGCTCGCAGTGGCATTTCGGAACATAACCTAAATATACGATAATACGCGGGACATTGACATTAATAAACTAAAATGATATTACGATATAAAGTAGGTACCATATTGTGTTACGTACATTTTTTGTTTAAAAAATACGGAAGTTCTACGAGATCCATATTTGCATGTCAATGTCAATGTCCCGCATATCAAACCTATATTTAACAGACTGTAGCTTGCGTTAAATTAAATGTAACACTGCAATAAAAATCGTTTCAACTTGGAACTAGATGATGAACTATTATCAAGCTTATAAATAAAATTTATTGTCATTTAATAATATAATAATTAATTATTGTCATTTAATAATATGCCAAAAGTAAAAAATCGATTTTTTTACTTTTGGCATATTATTAAATGACAATAATTTATTAAGCATTTAAATGGTATCGACATATATAGGTACATACAATACTGAATTGTTAATAAAAGGAAAACTTACCCTGAACAGATATTTAAAAATATGATATGTCTTAAACGTGTTTACGGTAAGTTGCAAATTATTTTTTTATTAACACATGGGACAGAATTCAACGTTAAATAATTCAGGTTAAAAATATAAGTAGTATACAGAGGAAGGCGTGGGTCCTCAGTGCGAATTTATGTTCGTACGGCTCATAATGTCGAAGAATCAAAACAGGTATGCTGGAGTTGGGGATAATCGAAGTTCGTATAACAGACAACCTTGGGATACATCTGTAACCCCTTTCGAATGGTCGGGTGTTAATATAATGTTTATGTTTCCAACTTCGTGTGTTTTTTACATTATGATTCTTTCCAGGTATTCTTGAACCGTAGCAAGCGAATCCTAATGGTTTCCAGCGACGGGCAGCTTGCGCAGTGGAGGTGCGCACCCACATTCGAGTCGGCGAACCATTATATCGCTGGTACGCCGATTGTTAACAAAGACGGAGCGCTTGTTTCGATAGTGACGGCTAGGAGAGGAAATCACTACGCCGTTTCCGCTTTTGAAGTAAGCATTTATCGCGTAGTAAAGATTTGTTTCCACAGTGGGAGTAAATTCAGACAACTGATGATAACAGAATGGGGGGCAGCTGCAACACCAAACTGTATAGTTTAGTGTTGCTAAGTCTATCATCTTATAAACACTACTACTTAGATAGTTAAAGGATTTTTCTTTACGCTGATGGAGGATTGTGAGTCATCGCACGCGGTAGAGTCAGCTTTCATCAAGATCTTCGATTACCTATATAAAAACATTACTGTGGAAAAGTTATAATGAATAGTTTTTAGAGTTGTGAAACCATATCTTTTATGGCAACGCATCTGCAAACCTTTCTACATGAAAGTGTAGAATTTGTATGGCTTTAAAAATGAAAATCAAAAACGGTGTTGTGTACGGATCTTTACCCTTATAAACGTAATTAAATCATATTTATGAGTTAATTAACACACTGTGACACTCAGTGTTAAGTTTAGATTAACAACACAGTGATAATTAAAGGAACGGTAAATTGTACTTAAAAAAGAGTAACTAAGCAGCTTTATATCTCAAAAGTCATGATAAAAGATAAATATGACTGACACCTCCAAAATTTTTACTTTTAATCTGCCAAAACTTTAGTGGATCTTGTTCTCTTGATAATCGGTTTACGGTGGTAGGGGCACGCAGCAGCGTTTGCTGTTGCATTAATGGGCAGGTCCGTCCGGGTTAGTACCACGACCTCACAGAAGACCGGCGTGAAATGGAAGTGTTGCAGTTCTACGTTTCGTCTGGTGAGTGAGGTGACCTGGATATTAAGTTAAGATCCGTATCCGTATCCGCGGATTTTGACGCCAATAATCCGGATCCGGATCCGTATCCGCGGATCTACTATTTTAATTATCCGGCACATCACTAATATCCATACAGATACATAAAATTGGAGTGTCTGTTCGTAAGATTCTAATAACAGCTGTTTACTAAATGGATATGGATGTATACACGGTATATATACCAAAATAACATTTTTACAATTTTTGTCTGTCTGTTCGTTCCGGCTGATCTCTGAAACGGCTGGACCGATTTTGACGGGACTTTCACTGGCAGATAGCTCATGCAATTAGGAGTAACTTTTAGTTTAGAAATATTATTTATAGTTATTATATATATATATATATAATTCCACGCGGATGAAGTCGCGGGCTCAGCTAATTTGTAAATCAATCTATGAAATGATTTCAGGGCGAAGGCGGGTACTTTGAAACACCGTTGCCCTGGGAAAAAGTTCACCCGATGGAAGGCGAACTAGTCTACGGCGATCAAACCTTCTCATCGCGGGAGGCGTTGCATAGCTACATTGCGTCCTTACCGCCACCCGAGGTGTCAGCTGAACTGCCAGTACGACCAGTTTTATTGACAGGAGTCACGCCGCGTTTGACCTTGATCACTCATAACGGACGTCAAATCGCTCATTATTATCTAAATGGAGTTCACGCTTCGGATGTGCAATACCTTTAGTTTATGAAACCCCCTTTGTCTTGTAATCAGTTTTAAAAGTGTATAAAGATATTATGTAAGTATATTTAATGACATTTTCTTCATTTAGTCAAGTGAAATAAGCATCACAAGTAATAAATGTCGAGCTGAAGGCAGCTTTTAAGCTTTAAATACATAGTTTTACTATTTTAATACCTGATTTTAATCCCCCGACGTTTCAAATACCTGCATATTTACGGCATTGATGCTCAGTCCCATTAAATGCATAATATTTGCCCAAATAAAAAAATTGTTATCTTTTATTCTTCCGCTTCTTTCTACTGCCCTTATCCCACACCTTTTTTCAGTATATATGTATTATCTATATCTCATAGTAGGTGAGTCGGCACAACATGTCCTTTCCCATCATTTATTTTAGGAACCATGTTATTATTTCAGTTATTGGCTTTATTTTTATGACCGGCCGCTAGGAGTGATGCGTATTTATCGTAACTGGTAATGATAACACGTATCTTGAGATAACAGACTGTACCTGTTACGAACAAACTTAAATAACAGTTCCTGTTCTACACAAATTGTTCCTTAACACGCTGTTACAAGCTTTTCTTTATTCATATTTACGACTGTTAGACAAAGATAAAACTGTTACACTGTATTACAGTTGTTACTTAATACTTTGTCACTGCCACAAGCTCTTTCTTTTTCTTGTATCGGTCATTTAGCTTTGTTAGAAAGAAAAGTACACTCGTTACCAAAGAGTAACATACTGTAACAGCTGTTAAAGTGTGTCCGGTTACCAGCGCTCGGCTGTCTCACGCTTTGTCTAAAGAAAACATGTTTGAACTGTCTTAAAAAAACAGCAGTAAACCTGTATAAACTATTGTAATAATATCCTGTATAAACTCAAGATAATCATAATGTTTTTAATCACTCAGTGAGCCGTGATAGCTCAGTGTCCGGGCGCTCGCCTTTAATTCAATATACTCAAGCAACCTGAGTTCGATCCCTGGTGCCGGCACCAATGAAGTTTTTAACTTTAAGTGCTTTCGAAATACCAAAGATTTACCTCATCGAACAAAAATTGAAATCGGTATAAGCATCACTACCGTGTTATTACCTGTGGCAGTTTAGTACGTCATGTACCTCCGTGGAGTTAAGGATGTTCCGATATCTGCATATCGATACCTACTCATATAAGTAGTACTCAAATCGTTTTTCGATACTACTCATGTAAGTACTCATAAAGTATCGATATTTACTCTACAATCCGATAATCGCACCGTTACAGTTGATTCATGCGCAAAATCGACTTACATGTAGATTTAGAGCTGCCCAAAATCACTCAACTCCTGAAGTCGGCGCCGCGCCGATACTTGGAATCCGCCGCCGCGCACCCCAATCCGATAATCGTTAGTGCCGCCACTTACAAGCTGCTACCGCTAGGTACGTTCCGCCGCAGCTGGCGTAGACCGCGACACGTCCTCGATTACCCTGACGATGAAACGACTGTCGCCATCGATAGGATTAAAAAACTACGCAAGCACACCATAGAAAGAAACTTATAAAAATAGAAACTTAGACTTAGACATAGAAACTTATAAACTTATAAACTTACAACACACACCGTACATATACTAGGCTCCGCCACGTACCTGGCAGGTTCTCCCCAATGATAGAAGCGTTGCTGGAGTTTCTTCCGCCACTTCTTCTCCCAGTGCCAACGCTTTCCGCAGTGGTAGTAATGTTAGATCTAGAAATTCCCCAGTCGGATAATAGCGGAGATTGAGCCTAGTCACTCCATGGAGCGTCCGCCAAAGCGCCCTAAGAACTTGGCGGCCTCCCAAACCGGTGATAATAATATCGTGACGGCCCGAGCCGAGGCTCCTTCGGGAGTCCACGAGCTTAGTCACCATAACGCATAATAATAAAACGCCGATGTTTAGGCTAGGCGCCTCGTGCACCAGGCCACTTCAAGACCGTCGTATCTGTAAAGGCCCCTATGGCCAACAGTGGCTCATCCAGCTTAAAATTCCTTCTGATACTAAGTACTATTTATATCGATACTTAAAAAAAAGAAAGTATTGTGTAAGTATCGATGAAATGCAAAATACTCTTATCCATCGAAACTACTCGTATCGTATTGATTATAGAACTCGTATTATTTATTTCGGTCAGTCTGATTTGATTCGATACCAAGTAGTTTCTTTTCGATAGACGATACCGATTAAGTATTGTAAGATTAAGTGGCAGCCCGCTGCTACAAACGCTACTAGTATGATAAATATGTTGCGTTCAAAAATTTGAAGTAACATTTATTTCGGTCAGTCTGATTTGATTCCATACCCAGTTCTTTCGTTTCGATACTAAGTAAGTACTAAGTATCGAAAGATTGATTCGATGCTAAAAGTACTTGGTATCGAAACAAAAGCATCGAATACGTACTTGTATTTACTTGTATAGGAATATCCCTACGTGGAGTATATGTGTTCTGTGGTACATACTAATACTACATATTTGATATTATATACTCTGTCCTAGACTACGGCTGGTACAGCTCTTCTATTTGTTATTAAAATTCCAATTTTAGTCACATTAAATTAAATATTATCGAGGAATCTAAGTGTGACGTGGTGGATAGGTGTTTGTGATTAAGTGCGTACAACAATAAAATGGGAAATCACACTAGCCATGAAAAGTCTTCTGGAGACCAAGGTGGAAGCGGTTCCAGTACTCCTCGAGGTTCTCAACGAGGCACACGTTCAGGGTCAAGTGGAGAACTTCCAGAGAAACCAGAGGCACCTCAGTCCACGTCTATGGTGCCAATTGAAAAATTAGCGAAGGTAACATCTTTTCCAATAAGGTCGTTGTCAGGGTTAATGAGTTTCCTTCCCTGTTGTCAGTTTATTTTCCGTTGCGTTTAGTTACGTTAGATTTAACTGTACCATGTAATGTATCGTCTAATGAAACGTGCATTGTTTTGTTTAAAATGAATACGCAATAATATGAATATTTTTAAAGCTTTTGCATAATTCACCAATGAAGAATAAGGTTTTATTTTAATAAATTTGCTTTAAAATACTTTATTATTTAAAAAAAGAAGATGAATGTATTCTAAATTTTTTAAACAAGGTTGATTGAGGTCATTATTTTTATAGTACTTAGTTCTTTATGCAATTAATAATTTATTATTTTTATTTAACTTGTTTTATAGCAATAAAAGTACAAACTTTTATAATATAGTGTACAATTATTTCACAAAATTATTTAAGACAATCAAATAACAATTAGTTTTAAACTTGATATGGAAAGTTTTGTCTTTCGAGTATACTCTAAATGACAGATAACACTGATAAACCTATGATAATTTGTTAATATGATTCAGAAAGTTAATCCGTTTTCTTCGCTACTTCAGATACTAGAATGAGGTGTTATCTTCTGATGTCTAATCTAATAATATTTCTGTTACTGAGCAATTTTAAAAATTTTAAGCCTTAGGTCTTTTAAGGTATCTACCAACATTATAAAACTGGACATGGCTGTTTTTTATTATAATCACCATTCAAAAACATATTTTTGTTTTAAAATTAACAGTATTCCGACAAACACTCCATTTTTTTATTTGGTCAAACAATGTTACACAAGTATACCAGTTTACTGCACTATATTTGATCACATCATCAAATGTGATTTGGGACTAATTTCAGACAAAAAAATTATTCAAAATGAGTGAAATTTGACAAGCTACATTAGGGCTGCTCCAATACCTAAATTTAAAAAAATAGTAAAAGAATGTTTGTGTGTTAAAGGCTACTATAATATTAATGATTATTTAAATGATAACACACTCTGGTAATGAACTGATCGCTCCAGGCTCTTTCAGTTCGGAGTTCTTATATTGTATTTTAACGAATTTATGTCAAACTGCTTATTTAAAAAAAAAAACAAAATAAGCCCGCTGAGTTTCTTTCGCCGGTTCTTCTCAGTACAGTGGCTTTCTTTTCCGAACCGGTGGTAGTGTTTTGACTATCAATAAGTGAGTGTAATGCTCCTATGTTGAATAAATACATTTGATTTTGATTTTTGATTTTTGAGAAAAGTCTAATCAACATTTTTTATTTGTTTTAAATCTTTTTTTAATAAAACTTGCTTGAAAGAAAATTATCAGTTTCCAATAGAGAAAAGATATATATTAGCTTTTCATTTCTTTCATTGAAACTGATAAATTTCTTCATATAGAAAACAGAAATGCATCTGTCTTAGTATGTCTATTCTTTTCTACGGGCATAAATAATTTAACATCTAACATTTACCAATCTTGTGTGTTTTATATAAAAATTTTGGAATTGGAAATACACCCCCCTGTAAAGGTTTTTTGTTTTGTCTTAAAAGCTTTCACTAAAACTTGCCTTCTTTATGAGGCACTTAAACACTTTAAGCAAATATGTAAAAACTTGCAAGCTGTCAAAAGAGATTTATCAGTTTGTGAAAAGGAGTACCGGTAATTTTATTGCCTTTCCTTGGTATGTTGATTTGAAATTTTAAGGAATCAGCTGTTACATTAAAAAAAAGATCTACATTTAAAATATAGCTTATTCAAATCTAATGGAATCATTTAATATTTTTTAGGTGATTTTTTTATATTATATTTACTTAAATTTTATATTTACCAAATCGCAATGCCCTTGCTTGCTTAATGATTTTATTTCTTATCAATATTTGTGATATTATATTTATTCATTACTAGATATTATATTAGATATTATATATATTCAAATTCAAATCATTTATTCATCGAAATAAGAAATATACATTTCATCTATCGATAGTCATTTCTTTTAATTTACCACCGTTTCGTAATGAGGTTCCTCCAACGGAAAAGAAACAGGCGAAAGAAACTCCGTAGGTATCCTCTTTTTTGTCATATTTTTTTCTCTATATTTCTATTAATTTGTGACAGCCCTACTGGATAGCTTCACTGGCGGGGCTCCATGGAGGTGATCACACACGGTCTCGGCAAACACCTATCACGTCTATTTACACTTCCCGCCGATAAAATGCGTGACTCATCAAATTTTGCGTCATTTGTACGGTCATTTTCCATTCGCTCCGCCGCATACTGCCTACACGGGTGTTTATTTTGATCCCGTCTGCCGCTAAACTGTCTCGTCCGTGGGTAGCGGCAGTGGCGGATTTTACGTCTCGGCCGCCCTAGGCCCCAGCCCATGTAGTAAGTTCCACCCGCCCCTTTCTCAGAGCCCATTATATATTTTTGTCATCAGTGAATTTTTGATCACGATTGGCCGCCCTTCATATGTGGCCGCTTTAGGCCCGGGCCTATTGGGCCTTAGGGCGAATCCGCCACTGGGTAGCGGGTTTGGTGCTAGGTAGACGCGAAAATTTCAACGCGAAATGGTCGTACCGAGGTGTCTTTGTCGCCGACGTGAGGTTTGTGATAATATGGTATAACTACTTTATTATACTATACCGTTTAGATTCGAGGCTAGAGCGTCCGGGCGCGAATCCCGATGACGCGGATTCAATTCCCACAGCGGCAAAAAACCTTTCGTTCATTTTTTCTACAAATTTTCATAATTTCTACTAGTGGTCGCCCAGTACCCAACCATAATCCAAACTTCTATATTAATATTATAAATGCGAAAGTAACTCTGTCTGTCTGTCTCGCTCGCTTTTACGCCTAAACTACTGAACCGATTTAAATGAAACTACACAGATAGTCTAGAGCCTGAGAAAGGACATAGGATATTTTTAATTGGATAAATGTGTTGTAAAAGGTTGAAAATATCTTTCTTTAAAAAAGACACATATAGTTTTTAAAGAAAGATATATTTTTAAAGACTTCAACGCGAGCGAAGCCGCGGGCGAAAAGCTAGTTAATTATACATGGTAGTGTGTGTAATGTTTTCTTTATTGATTTAATATATTTTGTATGAATAATTTAAAAATAGCATTCTGCACTCCTTCCTATATCAACTATAAGTGTGCGAAATTTCATACTCCTCCGTCTGCGGAATTTTCGTAAAAAGGACTACAATGCTTAGCTTCACGTAAATATATAGGTAGATTAGGTTTCATAACGTTTTTTTCCAATAACGTACATTCTATTGCGGTAGAGATAAGCAGCAATTTCTACCATAGCAGTTTCTAGTATCGCTTGCAAAAGTCACTGTCAAGTCCAAGCCAAGTCACCACACAGAAGAACAGCGAACAGTAAAAGTATTTACACTTTTGGGGTCGACCATCCTAAAGGTTGGTAGCACACCTGTATCACGGGCGTTGTCAAGTGCGAGCGGCGGTAAGTAATCAACTTTACTTCCCGCCATAAACTATAACAGCTGTTAAATATGTCAGTGTACTAACTACATTGACGTAACCGTTGTATGACGACATCGACGAGACCGTTATAATTACTATGTTATTTTGTTCTCACGACAATTCACAAATATTTATAAATATTGTGAGCAAAATCAATGCGTGGCGCTATCTAGTAGGCAACTATACTCTCAAATAGCATTTTCCAAAGAAATGTTTCAATGGGAGGTTTGAGATGTTCGCGACGTGATATCGGGGACTTAGCTCAGTTGGCCAGATAGAGTAGGGATGCCGAAAGTCAAGAAATATATCGATATTTATAAAAATATCAATATCGGCCTCGATATATCGATATTTTCTATTTATGCCCTGTTGTCAAAAAAAACGTATGCCAAGTATATTATAATATATAAGTATATTATATTATAGTATATTATATAAATATTTGAATGTACGGATTCTGCCCCGAATAGGAATTTGAAAAAAAATATCGTTTTTGATACGATTTCTATATAGAATATTTTATATCGCTATATCAACAATATACGGCTAAAAATATCGATATATCGATATTTTTTCTTGATCCCTAGGCTTGAGTGTCTGAACGTTATCCCGAAGCGGCGGTTCAAAACATGGAAGCGATATAAAAAAAATTTTTTTGACTGTAATCTATTAAACTCACATTTAACTTAACAGATTATTTAAATATTTTTCAAATTTTATCCCAAACGAATTATCATTAATAAATTATCTGCATTTTCTCGCTGTAATTATTGCACTTAGTTTTACTATTCGTATCTGTGACTGTAAAAATCATCAGCGATAGTGTTACTGCTATGGTGTAATGTAGTTTATTACCATGGTAGCGATAATTTAATTTATATTTAACATTTACATAAAATTTTACGTACCTAAAACGTTAACTAAAGTACATTACACTATAATGTACTACAGTTATATAATCGATTCAAACGAATAATTAAACCCGTGCCAGAATCGAACCCACTGCTGAAGCTTAGTACATGCCAACACGCTATGAAACAGTTGTCGATTCGAGTTATTACCCAGAAAGGTGATGGTATCGAAAAGTTTGTAGTATACTTGTAATACAAACAAAAATAAAATAAAATAAAATATACAGTCCACTCACCACTGCCTTTGTGATTTATGCAAGTGGTGCCGTTTGTTACGAAAGGCCGCCACTAGATGGAGTGATGAATGCAGGTGGTTTTTGACGCTGCTTTGTAATCTGTGGAAATATATCAAATAAGTGGTTAACGGTTGCGCTATTTGGCCCACCCTAATCGTATCCTCGCTATATTTTGATTTTTGATTTTAGAAACCGATGCGTAATAAAGACATTTATATATTGGCTTAAAAACTAAACCACCAGTATAAAAAGTTTCGGTTAGACGGAGATATCTCATGTAAAACAGCATAATGCAACAATTTCGGCCAAAACCTCGCGTTTTTATTTATTTATTTATTTATTTATTTTTATATGGGAATC